CCCCGGTCACCATCCCCCTCGTATCGCGTGCCCCGGCGCGCAGCCCCCCCTTCCACCCTGCGCAGACGTTTTCGCACCCCCCCCCCCCTTAGTGCAGAGTATTCCTTGTACACGATATCGCGCAGCCCCCCCGCACTGGGTGGATCCACCAGCACCCCTTGCACACGATATCGGCAACGAAGCTAGAAAGGCATTCATGTAACCATGAAAGTGCAGCCACTATGGAAAAGCACATGGCATCGGAAAACCACAGTAATATCTCCACGCATCAATACTACCCTTTCAACAGGATGCCTCACCATCCCCTGACAAAGCTAACCCTTCCATCGTTGCTGTCTGAACATTGTTGTCTTGACCAAGCCGGCTCCAAACTTTTTATGACCCCAAGCTCCAAAATTCTTCGCCAAATGCCAAAGCTCTTGACTCAAAAACTTTGAGCCGCATACCTTCAATCTGATTTTGAGGTCGAAAACCCATAAGCCCAAAACCTTAGACCTTAAAGCTGTAGTACTAGGTTATTGGATTTGCAGGGAGGAGGCTGATAGAAATGAAGGCAACGCACTCCTGTGATGAGGATGTAGCCCCTTCAGCCGGAATCTTTTCCTTCTGGTCCTGTCCGCCAGCATGGCAGGCCTCGACACGTCATTGTTAGAGCAGGGCCACCACAAACACATCATCCGTGGGATGCCCAACTTGCGGTTTTCGTCTGTGCCAACGGTGTCCTGCTGCGGTATGTAGCGCAGCTTAACCAAACTAGAATGGAGTTGCTGTTATCCGTGAAAAGCCTTCGGCGCTGATCCAAGCCCAAAACCCCTTGGCTCTGAAGCCTCAAGCCTAAAGTCACTCCAAACTTTACGCTCCATACCGAAACCTTCTACTTGGATCATCATGCTGCAAAACCCAAAATCCTAAACTAGCATCCTCAAACATCAACAAGCTCAAAGATTTGAACCTCAAAACCTGAAAGTTCGTCAAACTCAAAGCCCATACGCAGTGATTCGAAAACTCCCATCCTGACACGAAGCTAACATGAAGTAAAAAAGCCACACACTGCAGCAGAGCTTTCGAACCGGCGTGCAGGCTGTTGAGGACATGCCTGTGCCGACAGCAGAGGAAACCCCTGGCACATGATGCATTTGTCATGGTTCGCATGGTCGTGTTTCTACAGCTTCGGAATGAGGAGCTTTACGGGGACGTGCATCTCGTTCTCGCAAAGTTGCAGAAGGCCAACGCTAAGACTTGTCTGTGATGCCATGGCACCGTGCAATTTCATTAGGCCTTGCTGAGAAATCCTGCCATGAAGAAGAGCCACGTGCAGGACGTCTGTTTCAGTATGCAAATCATTCTCGAGACAACGTCTCCTCGATGCACGTCTCATCGACAGAGCTGTGCAGGAGATGCTAAAGAAAAGTGGTGAGGTGGCCTATGCCCTGGCTTCTTCCTGTCGTCATATGAGCCGCCGGGAGTTGAGCCGACAATGCACTTAGCACTGCAACTGTTCAACTCAGCTTTACCTTGTCCTGAATCGAACTCAGATGCGGCAGCAACCGAACAGTATGTTGTGCACAACAGCTTTGAGCTACCTCCACAGACTTCTCACGGCGGATTGCGTCTTTCCATGCGCACTTGGCAGAGTTTGTTTTGTCCTATGTCTCCTGCTTTTGAGATGTTCCCAGTGTGATGCAGCGTCGCAGGAAGGACAGGAGTGGATGGATATAAGCCATCTTCCAAAAATGTTGTTTTGTTGCTCTGCTCTGGCATTCATTGCACCTAGACGGGTTCCAAGCGAGATTTGTTAACAGTTGAGGAATCTGTGGGCAATTTGCACACCGCGCCATGTCGCAGACGATTTTTGTAAACAGGGAGCTCGTTCAACCCGTACCGCTCATTCAACCCGCTACCCGCTATCATTAAAACTCCTGTCTCATATCTGCAATGGCGAGCCTGTAGTTTGCCGTCTTGCCTTAATCTCGTCTCATTTTAAACTTGAAGGACATCAAGGGACATTGCTGGACCCTCTAGAAGAAGGCATACGGACCCTTTGTTTGGACTCCAAAACCTTAAAGCTTGGACTCTCCACTGATCCAGTACCAAACCCAGCACGGTTTGCTTCTGAAGGTGATTGATGGAAGGTGGAAGGTGAGATCGCTTCTGAGCTATTCGAAAAGGCCACACATTGCTGGCCTTCGCCATTGAGAAACATCAGCGAGAAAGCATGTTGCAGGATGGTGGTGGCTCTTTGCTATGATGTGCATCTAAGACAAGAGGCCCGGCAGCACCCAATGCCGGATTGCATGCGGCTCTCGGCATCAGGTCATTGTCAAGATGAGCCAGACGCTGGAAGCAAGCCTCCAGTTAGCACATGCGGACTATGCTGCTCCTCTGCATTACAGGGTCGTCAGAATCCAACCGAAAGCGGAGTCCTCCTTCCTGAGGCTCGGGACATTCCATGTGCAACCTGAGGTGCTCCGCGTCCTGTCATCGGTGCCAATTGTTCCACAGGCTTGGCACGCTTGGCATTCGTGGCCATGCGATGCACGCAGCGCATGCTGCAACAAGTGCTGCCAGGTGCAGTACTGCTCCAGCCCGTGCTCCTCATTGCCGTTCATGGTGATGGAGCTGCTGCAGGCGTTGCCCAAGTAGCCTAAGACTTCGTAAGACCTGTCCTGCTGGGATTGGAGGGCTCCACGCTCGATGCCCGCTTCCAAGAGGGCCAGGCGCGCTGTTGATGATCACTCGTGGAGGCTTCCAAGGCTCTTTGAAACTTCTCCAGAAAACGATGTGTTGAGGAGGCGATCTTGGAGTTGGAGGCAGCAGAGATTGGATACGCGCTTCTCTTGGGTAAGCTTCCAAGAGTGGTTCAGCAAAGGAATATTCATGGCCCGAGACCAGTTGCTCCAGGTATGGATGCCTGCCACCAACAGCAGGCAAGATGGTCAGGTTTTGGGATTGGTCACGTTTCTGCTGATGAACGTGGGCTTTGTAGAGACGAAGCTTGACTTGAAGGTTTTCAACCTGGCTCTTTGTCCAGAAAATGTTTGGGTCTGCGGCCTGGCTGCCTGCAACCGTGCAGTCTGGAGCGCTGTCGAGACCCTGGAATCAGGTTGGCCCTCCGCTTGAGGCCTCTCGCGTTCGGATTCTGGTGCGGGGCCTTTGAAGATGGGTCGGCATGAAAGTGTCAAAGAATATGTAGCCAGGACTGGAGCATCAGCGAGATAGGTGCTGCCATGCTGGCGAACCCAAAGCTCGGGGCTAATTGCGCAAGTGCATGCGTCCAATTGATTGAAGCTGTGCATCTTGAATCCGGCACTGCTCGTTGTACCAGGCTGCAGGCATACATCAATATGAGGAAGACAGGTCTCTTACGAGGCCTCTCATGATGCGGTAGCTACTTGTCACGTGTTTGACCTGGCTTCGTCAGGGAAAAGCAGTCCAAAGTTTTTCAGTGGTGGCCACGAAGCGCGCCGCTCATGACACGAGCATGACTTTCTGGACAGTATCTACATGACCTCTTGCTGAACGCGCAGATGTGGATTCCCAACGATACCTTGCTGTAGGATTGTGCAAGTATGCAGAGATCCATAGACATGCAGCAGGGTGTCCAGACAAAGGTTTCCACTTCGGACATCAGCACCAGACGTGAGCGTCGCGAGCTCAACATATATTGCAGCCGCGCTTGCTGGTAGTGTCGTCACTCTAGGCAAGGGTGCGCTCCTTCAGAAACTGGTCTTCAGCGGCCGGAGCCACAGCATTCGTAGCTGAGTCTTGTTCTGGAGCTCTGAGACTTGCAGGGCATGGTAGTCTGTACTACATGTCCGGATCTCGACTGATTCGAGGTAAGCTTGGTGGCTCAGCTGCCGTGACTTGTCTGATGCAGGTCGATGGAGCAGCTGTACCAGACTATCCGGTTCCTTTGTCATCTTTATGCGCGTGCAGGCTAGCTAGCTTAGGTCCAGCCGCTTGATGCTGCTAGGTCTTTCGAGAGAGCAGGAACCACAACAGCAAGCCCGCAGAGTTGGTTCCAGGAGCATCTTATGAGCACGCATTGACCTTGTAGTCAAAGCAGTCATACAATGAAACCTACCTGTTTCGATTTACACAAGCCGTTGGCTCAAGCTGTGTGGGATGAAGCATGGCTTGGTGCGCGCCGGCCTGGGAAGAGCTGCAGGTTCCACGAGTCATGCTAGTCGTTGTCATGCGGTCTGCTTTGTGAGATCATCGGATTTGCGTTTTGGGAGGCTAGCCTTCCCAAGCAGCAGAAGGCGGACTAGACAACATTCTGTTGATTCAGGCTCTTGGAAGAGAAATGTACAGACGGCGAGGCGCAAGCACCATGGATGTTTGCAGAGTGCGGGGTTCCCAGCAGTACTTCCATGATTTTAGTGTTCGGCTAATTCGGCCTTTCTTTCAGGCTCGCCAAAGGGTCTCTCGCCCCTCCGAGCGCTGCGACAGGGTGTGCTACTCATACAACTAACTTTGCCATGCTGGAAACTTGTGGTGTCGCCATTGCCTCTAATGCCTCCCCAGGTCTGTTAACGCATTGGCCGCTTTCTGTCCGACGACCTGCTACCAGTGAGGCTTCGTTTGGATGCCTGTTGTAGTTCGTGTGAGAGCAAAGAATGCAGGACATCTTGACGTGCCCGAGTGCAGCCTCGACAGAAACACAAGCGCAGCTTGTCCCACTTAAGCGGTAAGCCCAGTAGGCTTTGGGTCGGTTCAGTGGGCTGCGGGAGTTGCGGGACGCTGGCTAGGCGTGCTTTGAAACCACCCGATCTGTCGAGGCAGGGAGCTGACGAGCTGACTGAAGCTGAATCAAGGAAGAACAGCACATGTTCCGCAGGCTGCTTCCAAGTTCGATATCTTCAGTGTTGCTTAACAGGCCTGGCCAGATCGCAGGCGTTCTGTGAATAGTCAAAGCGATCAGAGGCGTGAAGAGCGGTGGTTTCTAGAGCAGCTTGGTGGCGAGGCACGGGGCTGAATCTGCAGCTTCCATCAACTGTTTGCAACCATACCCTTTGGGAAGCTTTTGAGCTGTGAGAGTTAGATGAAGCATGCTAGAGGCATCCATGCGAACATTGTTCGACCAACTTGACGTATGCAGGGGTCAGGGAAGCTTTGTTGTACGGAGTTGTACGCGTAATGTGCATGTCCACGTCGATGGCTGTCGTGCGGTGCAATGCGGCTTTGGATTGCAGCTTGCCTGGCGCTCACGGCAGCAGTCTTGCTGGTTGTGCTGGGTGGCACGGCGCCTTGCTGCAACAGAGTCATGGGATGGAAGCTTCACGCCGGACTGTGCAAGACAGTGTGATTGTTCTTTCGCTGATTCGCTGCGTCCAGGTTCTTTCCTCGTCAGAGGGTGAAAGTACACGCCAGACAAAGTATGGCTTCATCGTCACAACGATTTGTATCGGCATCATTGCAATACAGCTTCTTGCATGATCACTGTGGCTTTCAGGATCGCGGTCTTCCGCGAATTGTGCACTGTTGAGGTATGCCGCTGCTTGGCTGCCGAGACTTGTTCAACTTGGTCCCAAGCTGAATCTGCAGCGCAAGATCCAGCACATTGCAACAGGCACAGTGTGTCGGGTGAGATGCCCTTGTCACACTGACTCACTTGAGCATGATGCGTCCCTCGTGCAGGCCTTGCACTGGCGCAAATCTTCCTTCTTTTCTCAGCAGAAGTCTGCATATTGGCCCTGGGGGCTGGCACACTGGCTATGCTGCTTCTGCAGGTTGCTCGTGCAACGTCTGATAGGGTAAACTTGGAGTTTCTCCGACGGTTTGGCTCCATGCTGAAGCAAGAAGAACGGCACCTTAGCAAATATTAGCTGAGCAAGCGGAGGTGTCTGTGTACGCGTCTCCGTCAATAGGTGTTTGCATCAAAGATCGCTCAGGACTGCCTTTCGCCCGCCAGCAGCTGTGTATTTCTTGCTTGGCCTCTTCTTGTGCTTGGTGGCCTTCCCGCGCCGCCTTACTCTATTGTGCACGCTGATTGCCACGCTGGCCGTGTCCCAACTGAATGTCGCCTGTGCTGTTTCACCTTGCATCAGACGGGAAGCATAGCTATTCAGGACCCCTTTGCAGCCATTGGCGGTGTTGCCTTTGGAGGGCCTCAGCTGCAGCTAGGTGCAGGACAGAAGAGCCTCGGTGGTTGCTTGACGTGCGCCCTGGCACCTTGCCTACGATGATTTTGCATGCGTGCAGAAGCTGTGATACAGTACTGGTCTGTGAAGGTCAGGTAGAACGGGATGGGTTAGCTGTTCTTAGTTCTGGGCTTTGGCTCTGAAAGGGCAGAGGAGGGAAGCCCGGAATTCGCGTGGAAAGAGTTTCCAAGGTGGCAGCAGGAATTGCCATTATGGTGGTGGGCTCTGCGCCTGACACTTCACCTGCAGCAGTGGATACGGTGGTGGTTGGCATTCTGTGTGGCCAAGCTGATATGTCTTTGAGTGTGTGGGCTGGCTGTACGATGCTGTGCAAATGCCCTGAAGAAGGTGGATGTGCTGCAGCTGTATGTGAAGTGGCTGGAGGCCCTGCAGTCGCGTCGACCTTTCCTCATGATGTTGTGTCCATTTGTTGCCAGTTGGATGGCATTGACAGGTGGTTTCAAGTGGTTGGACGACAACCTCCTTATCAGTTTCGGTACAGGGCTGCTGCTCAAAAGCCTCGCGCTGTGTGCAGACTTAACTGGTTACTTGGCTGATCGTCAGAACGCGTATGATGATGTGGCTTCCGATTAACTCTGTTCCGTGTCCTGACATGAAGAACTTAAGCAAGAGCTCTTCCTGAGTATTCTTGCGCAGATGTGGCAGATGACTTGAAGCTGAGGCATAGACAGCAAGGCCCTACAAGCGTTGCTGAGCTGAGTTCGCAAAATCAAATGTTCGTCTCACCTTAGGCCCTAGACGGGTAGGCAAAGTGATCCTGCCATCGCACGGAAACCAGACAAGAAATGGCTTTTTGCTGGAACTTGTTTCATTTCTTGTGCAAGCAGGAAAGCATCAAGCTTTCTGAGTGTCTGATAGTGCATGGAAGTTATGATGTCGGGAGATGGGAACCATAGGGTCTATAGATGTGGAACACTTGAATGATACTTCATCTGCCCTATAGTGCTAGCCCAGTACACTGTTTTGCTACCTGGCTTTGGGCTTCTGGAGCGTTTGGCTTCTTGCTCTCTGACTTCGATCTCTCTCATTGCGATCGCTGCTGCTGAACGCCACCTTGCCTGCCAATGCCTCACAGGTCTTATCATGATTTTGCTTTTCTCTGTGCGGTGTTCGCGCGGCTCTACATGTAGGCCATCACCAGACGGTTATTCTCGTAATGGCGTCTGGCAATTACTACTGTCAGAATGTCTGTATCATCAGCATGACAGTCTTTTTCTTTCTCTGCCGCATTGCCCTTGCTTAAGTGAGCTTGAAACTCTTGCGCCTCGTGCTACGCCCGTTTTGGCAAGCACTCCGTGTGTGTGACCTTTTCTGGAATGGCTGGCATTCTGTCTGTGCCGGCAGAAAGCAAAGTCACACTCTGACCTTGCAGGTGCACACCTTCGCAGCTGAGGAGGATCTCCGGCTGCACCTGCTGAAGCCTCCGAAGCTTCCGGGCCAGTCCCGGCCTCAGGAGGGGCACCAACGTGCGTCGTGGGTGGTGCTTCCTTGAAAACAAGGCAAGAAAGACCTGGTTGCATGATCCTGTTCCATGGCGGGCACGGTTCTTGTCTTCAACAGGTGTATCAAGCAGCAACATGACATTTCTAGCTGAAGGTCCTGGATGGTGGGCTCTCCTTCACAGTTCTACCAGCACGCCGAGGAGAGACCTAGAAGAACCCTGCCGACCTCCAAAGGAGGATGGGAGTCCGGCGGCCTTGTTCAGGTTATCGCCAAAGATCTCGGAGTGGCAGTTGCATGCTGCCAGTATCGTTTGTGGAGTCTCGGCTGGTAAACAAGCACACATCAGCCACTCAGCTTCTCGACCCAGTCGGCAGAGCCTGGCAGCCGAGGCTGAAGCACCCTCGAGCAGATGTGCCATTTGATGCCATCAAGGATGCACAGCGCTGCGTGCGGTTTCTCCACGATGAGGCAGGACCTACAGTTAGGGGAGAAGGAAGCTCAGTTTGGGGAACGCCTACTGCACACGTTTCCATTCTGATACTGGCTGCCGCAGGGGTGAGGCAATCTTGCACCTTGGTGGGGGGCGGGGCGGGGCTGGTTTCGGGGGCGAGGGCGTGATGTTTGCACCGTTTCCTCGATCTATGGCCGTGCCGCCGCGGTTGAAATGTCATTCTGTGGTGAGCTGGCAGCTATCCACTAAGGACTAATCAGGGTGCCTGGTGCTTGCTGAGGGCCCCTAGCATACCCCATAACTAGCCCAACTGGGGAGTATGTGGTGACTTGCATAGAGAAAGGGCAATCTTCCACTCCGCCTCTCAGCCTGTCATCAAAGCTCAATGGGTACCGGATTTTTCCTCAGAGACCTCGTCTTGGGCAGCTTGAGGCTTTGAATTGTGGACCCTCAGTGGCCAGAGCACACATACTTGCCTAGGAAGTTTAGCTTGCGCAGTTGGTACACGTCACGTCTAATTTGCTACATCTCTCATTACATGTGATGCGTAGAGCGTACTTGGTAGTGAGGATGTTGCATGGCATGTGCTTGACGGGAGTGCTTGCACTTGCCGCGGCGCAGCTATGTGTAAGTATATTCTGCTTGTCAAAATTCTGAAGGCCGATGTCTTGGGCCTGGACAGGAGGAGGCACTGGCCTTTTGTTGATGGAATGATTGAACATAACGGTATGGCAAAGTAGCATTGGTTGCGGGTCAGAAGGGATTGACAACTGCGTGTTGCTAGAAATTCCTCTGCCCTTTTCGAGAATTGCAGCACAGGAGCATGCAAGCAGAGCAAGGAACAAAAATGCAAATGATGCCAGCAGCGCAAACAGCTCCGCTGCAAACTTTCGCAGCGGTCCGCACAACCTCGCGCTTTCCCAAAACCATGTTGTAAGGACAGGACTGTCCAACTCGGCAGCCCTCTCTGCTCAGAGCCTACAATAGGCAAAATGATGACACGTACAGGGATCGCAGGCGTTCAGCGCCGTGTTTTGTTGTGGGGGAAGTGGATGAGGGACGTTCGCTCACTGCTTTGGGCTTTGCTCCATGTTTGACGCAGTACTGTAGTTGTGCCAAGGAAGACGCATGTGGAGCTTGTAGGAAGCCTGCCAGCATTTGGCGTCCATGCCGGCACGAGGGCTTGGAGGTGGTGTAGAGCTCTGCAGGAACCGAGGAGGCTGCTGGGCAACGGGTAATGTAAACGGCAACCTCGAGTCACTAGGACACAGTTCCTGCAGCCCGTTCGTAACGTGTTTGGACAGGAGACATGACGGCTTCTGCTCGGCAGATGTCCAGGGACCCCCGAGGGCAAATGCACAAGGCTGTTTGCAGAAACGGACAATCATGCCATTGCTCCCTAAATGTACGCTTGGCGGCAATGACGCACCACTGCGCTGACTCAGTACATAGTAACTTCTTGTTTTGAAAATGAATGGTTTGTACCCAACGTGCCGCTGTTTGACTGTTTCCAATTTCTGCTACACAGCAATATACCTGCACATGTTGAGAGGCACTCCTCTTCACAACCTTATCGACAGAGTCGAGTCGTGGCAAGCTATTGTAAAATCCAAAGCATGCGAACCACTAAGAAATTGCCTCAAATACACGGTCGTGCCATTTTGAAATTCACTGCTTTCTGATTAAAAGGATGATGAACAGCTTTTTGTCAGACTGTGGAATAATTGTGAACATGTCTTGGCGAGTCCCCAGACAGTTGCAAAATGAAGAATTTGTGAAAAGTGAAAACGTTCACTTCTGCTTTCCTTTATGCGTAGTGCATTCCTTGGGTGTCCTACTATTCCCGCCCCATGTTGCAGTTTCATACCAGAAAGATCAAGCTTGATGACATCATGACGTGCATGTCTTGCACCGTTTCCAAATACCTCAATTTCAGAGAATAATTTTGCCTTCATTGTTGATCTTTGTTTCAGCGGAATACGTCCTCCACAAGTGCAATCCAAAGTTAGACAAAAGCCTTTGAACAGCCAAATCCGCTGTTGTTTCTATCAGTCCTTTGCTCAAAACACCCATTTTCAATCACGCAGTGAGTAGCAACATCTTTCGTGCAAGCTGATTCCATTTTTCTCCAACCGCGAAGGGATGGGCTTCACACCTGGGGTTTTGGAGTGGTCGCTGGGGCTGGTTCCGGAGCAGGTTCCAGAGCGGGCTCCAGAGAGTGGCTTCCCGGAGTGGGTTGGATCCAAAATTGGTTCCAGCAGATTCCGGTTTTTGAGCAGGTTCCGGAGCGCGTTGTGGAACGGGTGCGGGGGCATGTTTCCAAGTGAGCTCCGGGCTTCCGGAAAAGGTTCCTGTGCCTCTAGAATCTGCCTTGGAGCAGGGGCCTCCATCAGAGCTGACCGACATGCTGGACTTGCTATCGAAGGACAAGATCCCAAAGACCAAGACACTGTGCAAAGAGATGTGAGTTGCGATTGGAAGCGCCTTCAAAGGGGCAGGCATGCAGCAGCGCTTAAGCCACAGAAAGCCCAAGACTTGCCCTTAATGTTGTTATGTTGTCTTTGTCACTCACCGTAAGGCTCTGTTGGGACTGCAGTGGGCCTAATCCAAAGCATTCCCCTCTCCATTCGCCAACGGCATCCGTGCATGCGCCGTACTTCTCGCTGTTTGTTGGAGCTGTCTCTGCATATTGACATCACATGGCTCTCAGGATTCCTTATCAGTAACTCCGCGCATGAAGCATTTCTTGAATGCGATGTTTGCAAGGTTTGTGGTTGGCGGGCTTAGCGCCGGTGGACATCTTGCAGCCATGACAGCGCTGGAATCTGGCGCAGAGATAGGGCTTGCAGGCGGCATGGATGTCTCAACATAGAGACATGCAAGTTTGCATGATAGAAGCCTTGGTGCAGGACTTGTTCTGTTGAATCCAGTGCTTGACCTGAGCTTTTCAGCAGGTTGGCGCAGGCGCGCACAATGCATCAGGAGTGAAGGTGCTGAGCCGCAACCCATGCAGTCAGGAGAAAGCCGCTAATATGGCTGGGCTCGACACTCCTTCGCGCACGTTATGGCGAGGACACCTCTTGTTTCTGTGGCTGAATCTGTGAGAGTTGCCGCAGAGCACCCAGGAAGCGTTGCAATCCAAGTCGCCGATACATCAGGCCAGGATTTTGACTAAAGGATTGGAAGCTACTGGATCTCCTGCGCTCGAGCCACAGCACTAGCCTCTTCGAACAGAACCCAGCATGAGGGCAAAAAAGACGGCATTCAGTTTGCGAGATTTGTTCATTATTTTTGGTTTTGATGTGCGGGAATAAAGCTTGAAGCGGCCACAAACCCTTGGGCCACGAACCCTTGGGCCACAGGAACCCCTCTGCGGGTGATAAGCACATACCATTAGGGGGAAGAGTTGAGATTATCTTGAGACCTTTCTTCGATTGGGCAGTCTTGAGCAATTACAGGTTCATCTGTGACTTTTGGATGTCGGTGACTTGTCAAATATAGCTGGGTAGGCTCCCTCGCAGAGAAACTCAGGGAAAGATATTGAGACCATTGACGATTTTTAATTCGACGGAGTTTCTAGCATTGGGAGCTCGTGGGGGGTCCACGCTTCTCTGGGAGCTTTGGGTCTTTTCTATATATGATTTGTCTCTTTGATGGGAGTGTTCAACGATTGGGAGAAGTTCGGACAACGCTACGGCCTACACAGCTTCTGAAAGAAAACAGGGACGGCAAGATGGGATGAAGACCCGATGGGACATTTGAAAGTTCGAACAGGACGCGAAGCAAGTGTTGCGATTGCGAAAGCGACAGAAGCTGTGGGAGCATGCAGACGAGCACTATCATTGGAAAAGCTGGGAAAAGAGCGGGAGTACTGCACGAAACTTAGCTGGGGGCCTGGAAGTCAGCGGGAGCAATGCAGTCACGCCCGAGAGCAAACTTCTTGAGGGTAGAAGAACAACTAAGTTGCGTGCTTCGATCTCAAAGTGCGAAAAGGCCTATCAGCTGCAAAAAACGCAAGCCGAGATCGCGGAGGGCGAGGCCATAGCTTCAATTGAAAACTTCTTGTTACGACGCAAGGACTGAGAACGGTGGTTGGTGCGGATGGGGAAGAGCATGTAAAACATTTGAGGTTATCTTGAGAGAAGAGCAGACAGTCAATTTCAAACAAAGAACGTTTCGCTGTTCAGAATTGAAAGCCTAGTCGCAAAGCTACAACACTGAGGAAGACTTTAGTCAATCAATTGGGAGCACGAGGCACATAACCGATTTCGGCTTGGATTCCAGATAGGCAAACCGTTGCCTCGCATGCAATCCGTAACGCTCAAGAGGGGAGCTGGCCAATTCAGTGATATGCCATAATGGCATTTCGCGACTCAGAAAACTTACAGGAGTGGATGTGCAAAGTGTGTGTGTACAAAGGAGGAGTCCTGTGGTTAGAGTCGACTAGACAACCAAAGGAGTCCAGAAGCAGTCAGCACAGAAGACACTGGGAGCACGTTTGTTCACTGTCCCACTTTCCGGAGAGGCATGAAACGCGGGGATTGGAGTGAGAGAAGGGTGTCAGACGATCGTGAAGAATCGTGCTAACGGCACTGCTCAGCTCATTACAAAATGCAGCCGCCCAGGTTCGCAACCTGCCTTTCCCGACTTTGATCTTGCATGGTGAGGAGGATGTGACAAGACTTTGGGTGACCATGTGCTGCTGCATTTCCTTGGACACCCGAAGGACGACGTCATCCCTCTGGCACAATCGGAGGTTTTCGTGGCAGAAATGCAGCGGCGCTGTGCTCAAGACTCTGTTGTAGACGTGGCTTGTACACAAGATTCCGCACAGGTCTCACAATGATTGCAAGATGATTGCTTTTCCTCAGGCGCCGCTGCTGTTATAGCAAGATATAGTGAGAATTCATGTTGGCAGCAACAATATTCAGTTTCCGGCAAGGTAAATCATCACTTCCTGCATGCAAAGCCAGAGGTGGCAGAGCGTGCCTAGCCTCGAAAAGGGAGGAAGACCAGCCATGCTGTCAGCTGCGACGTAGCCAGGCCACCTACTTGCACTTGGCAGTTTCCTACAGGAGGCTGGAATCCGGCAGTGTAGTAGCCATCAGTTCAAGCATGCCCTGCCAAGGCTGGCGTCATGCATGGCTCTGCAGGAGATTACAAGTGCAAGCAGTGACCTGCGTTCCCGGAATATTTGCACAGAATGTCTAATTGAAGGTGAAGCAGAAGGAGACATGTTTGTTGCAGCGAGCTCTACGTGCTTGCTGCAACCTTCTGATCATACACCTTCTTCGTCTTGTACAAAGCATTCAGCTGGAAGCCATTGCACCAGAGTTTTTCATATCCCTTCACCGATGCTTGCCATGTCATGCATCCGCTGCCCTTCTTGCCAGCCCCTTCGCGACCATGATAAAGTTCTGGTGGTTTGGCTGGCTAGACATCACTTCTGGCTTGCCTCAACAGGTGCCTCCGGCGTAGACTTGCAACTCTGTACAGCGTGCAAGGGCGTGTATTTGAATACTGGTCAATGACAAGGAAGTCTGCAAAGCCATCCCTTGTTTGGCCTACGTACTTGTGCAGGGCACGGCCAGGGGTAAGTTTAGGAAAAGGCTTGAGCCCTTGCTTGGCTTCTGCACGGTTGCCGTGGTGTTTGTCCTCCTCTTGATAGACAGCTGGTTCTCCAATCGGCAGGAGTCAGTGGGCAGCGTCGTAAAAGTCGAGGGCAGGACAGTCCACTGGTTTCAAAAGGCCCTCTTGATCTCTTGCGAAGTTGATGGACTGTACTGCCAAAGGATGCAAGCCAATTTCAGATTGCACTGAAGCTGGCAGGGGGATGGATTTGTGCAGACAAGCCAGCCCGTGGCTGCCGCAAGCTTAGATCTCCCCCGGTTTCATCTCTCACGTTTACGTGTTGCTTGTATTGCTTGCAGACTTCGCACTCTTGAAACTTATGAATTTGGTGTTTAGGATGCAATGCAATGCATGGTTTTGGTTTAAATCACAGATTTTACGGTGAGCATGTAGGGTTCTTGATTCGTTGTTTTGATTGTGGCATGTAGGGGTGAAGCTGAGATGATTTAGGTGCCTTGTGCTACTTGAAGCTATCACAGGTAAGTTTTAGATTCTAAGGTGGGGTGTAAGGTTGGAGGTTCAGGTTTGGTGCTGAGAATGTGGAGGTGAGCGTTTGGATCTTCTGAATGGGAATGGGTTTAGACTTAATTTTGAGTCTCAGAGCAGTTTCCCGCGTGCTTTAGCTTTCGAGAGGTTCATCAAGACTAAGTATGTAGGGTTGCAGGTTAGGGTTTCGGGTTTTATGATGCCCGGCTTGGGGTCGATCATGGTTTAGGACTCCTTTAGGACGTAGGCTTTTGATTTTGAAGTTTGGGGTTGAGGTTCATGGAGCAGGGGAAGGTGGGAATGGGGGGAGGCTGGAGCTTCTTTGAGATGCAATTTATCGGAGAGCAAACCTTTGTTTTTGTCTTGGTTTGTTTCGACTTGCAGCTTCTCGCGCTGATTTTGGTCTTTTGCATTGTATTCTTGTTCTTAGCCGTCTTGGCCTTCTTTCTCTGTGTCTCTAACGCCGCTATAGCTCGGAATGGTTGGCAACTGTCAAGCAGGACAACCACGTGCTTAAACTTCTGGACAGACCGTTGCACAGCCTTGATGGGCAGGTCACCCCGCTTGGTCACCTGTTCGAGGCCCTAGTTCTTGGAGAAAAACTTTGCAGAGACCTGTTGTCTTGTTCCTGCCGGCATAGGTGGAAGTCATGAAAGCAGTAAACCTCGGTCGGTCGAAGACCCAGCCTCAACCTCAATGTGTTTGTTGGAAAGCCATGGAGTTTGTCAGGAAGCTGGAATGTGAGCTCGGCTTCTGCATAGGCGGGTTCTTTGCTGAACTGTACTTGTATTGTGTACGATGGCGCAGACTTATCTACAGCCAGTTTGCCAGAGGTCTTTGCTCCAAGCCGCCTCGTGCCAGTGACAAGGGAAAGCCCGAGAGACAGGAGAGCATCATCAAAAAGCTTTGAGGCAGAAAAGGCACAAAATACAACTTAGCAGGACTGTTGGATTGCTGGAGGGGATGCATCTTTCTATTTGAAAGGGGCCAGGAGCTGAGAGCACCTTTGCTTTGCTTTGCAAATTGGATGCTTGCAATGCCCACAGGTGCAGCGACGTGTTGGCAAGACATCTTCCGACACGCAGCAAAGGCACAGGATCGCAGCTTCTAAGCGAAAATGGTTCAGCAAATAAATCCTGAGGTATCTTCACATCTCAAGCGACCTCCGTGCAAAGGTTCTTACCCCAGAAAGCTCCCTCGCATGGGAACTTTGAATGCTATTGTACATCTGGTTGGTGAGTGCAGAGCCCAGTGCTAAGGATAGAGTGGCAATCCTGGCAGAGTGGCCATGGCCCCGTACTTGTGAATGCTGATAGTTTTCCCTGCGCGCAGACAGGTCTGGGAGTCTGTCTCTTTTTGTTAACGGTCGCAGTGGCGTGTTTTTGTTGTAGTTTGTTGGGTCGCTCTCAAGTCACTGGGGAGTGGTAGTTGGGCCAGGAGAGCCAGTGGGCCGCTACAGCAATGCCATCGACCACTGCGAGGCATGTACGACTTCCGACACTGCAGCAAATCGACTGCCATTTGTTGATTCAAGGTGGTACTGCCTCTTTATGGAGTTGCAGACATCTTTGTGCGGGAGGTCTGGCAAACATTCTAAGCATGGTTGATGTCAAAAACACTTGAAGCCTGCGCAAAAGCATGCAACGAATTCATTGCACACAACAGGCCAGTGAAGAGTACACCGTGCGCTCGATTGGCCTCATCACTGATGATGACATGCAAGGCTCGCGTGCACACGTCTCACAAGGTCTCACTATGCCCATGGCCACTGATCTGTCTTGGCGCAACTGCACCCAAATTATCTACAAGCCTGGATTTGTGTGCGGTGCTTTGTCTCGTTGCCCGTTTTTACAAGCAAAGTGCTGGCAGTCGAAGGAAGGTGCAGCACGACCATGATATGGCCAGCATGCTAAGGTGGTTGGGGCGTTCAGAAGGAACAGATGGAGCGTGCAGAGCTTGAGTCAGCCACCCGGAACGCGTGGACATTTTGCTCCCACTAAACGACGCAATAACGTAGCAGGCTGACTGGCATTCATCAGCTCTTGCACGGGGAAGCTGCTGTTGCCACGACGCCCTTAGCTCAAATCCTAAGTGCTACCAGCATGCCAGAAGGTTTCAATATGCTTCAATGATCTTTACACAATCGTTGATTGTTTCGCACTTGAGGATCGGGCCATCCTGTGATCTGTATGCCTGCGGCATGTCTGGCCTGTGCTCGCTGTGCACCTTGGTCACTACGCTAAGTTTTATGGATGTTTCTGGCAGGTCGGATCCTTCTGAGCCTTTTCCGCGGTGGGCGCCGCATTCTCTTGAAAGCTCCCGACTTTGCTGAAAACTGTGAGGCGGTCGAGAACCATTGCCCTCGGCGAATCTTGACAGGTTCGCTAAGTCCAGTGCTTGTTGCGCCTTCCCGCGCTGACCTGAAGCCCTCCCAGATTTGTCGTGGCTTACGCCAACTGGGCGCAAGCTGGGCAGGATCCTGAGCTGGGCAGAGCTCGTATGACGCAGCAGGTGACACCCTGAGTCCTCCTGTAGCCTCAGGTGCCCCCCCACCGAAAAGCGCTACGGTTTGCTGTGGGCGCTGAAGGACAAAGAAACCTAAACTGGGTCAACGGATGTCAACCGCAGTCTCAGGGTTTTTTGTTAGAAGGAGCTGAAAGCGGAGAAGACTGAGCGCAGCGAGGCGCCACTTCGTCCTTGCGTTGCGCGGTATACGTGGAAAGCCGTTAACTTCAAGAGTCTCGCTTTGCTTAGTTTGAGGAGCTGGCTGAAGTGGAGAAGGGAGAGGTCAAGCTGGTTGTGTCTCGTTGCATCAAGCGCTCCAGGCCCCGTGGTGCACTGTTTTGCAGGTGCTGCGTTGGTGCTGTGGGCATGCCGTGTTGAGGTACTCTCGTCTCGGCAGCTGCTGGGAAGCTGCAGAAATGTTGGCTTCTGCCTCGTCCTGGCTGGGACCTTGTCTGAAGCTGCACTCATTGAGCTTGCGCATCTGCCACACATCCAGTACGTGTTGTCTTTCCTTGTCTAAAATGGCCCTTGCTTGGGAGCTGTCCCATGGTGGACAACAACAAGGCCGCAACGAAATCTGGAGGTCACATTCCAGCAGACAGGAGCCCAGCAAAACAAAGGCTGTAGCCAGAAAGGGCATCAGCAGTGAGCAAGGCCAGTGCAACCAAGAACTGAATTAGAGCTGCAGATAGCTGCGGCGGTCCAGAAAAGTAGCATCGTTGAGTTGAAGCGTTGGCGGCTGTTGGCCCGTTCCGGGCTTTCTACGGAAAGCATGGGACCTGCGGTCTGCACGGCAGGGGGTAGAAGGCTTGCACTTTGGAAGTCGGCCTTAGATCGTGCGGTCACGGCATCCAGAAACCCGGAATGGATAGCGTACTTGAACTGTGTTCACTTCCAATCAGGTGGGTTATGTTGGGTTGTACACATTACATCTGCACGAGCCCTTGCCTGCAAACAGCAGCGCCAAGAAGCCTCAAAGCAAAAATGGAAGCCCGGGACACCAACAGCGGATGCTTGATGGTGCAGACATTCAGAAGGAAGAAAGATTTCCTTTTGACAGGAGGCCGCCAGCCAAGACTTAAATGGATGTTGCGCATTGATCGTAAGTGTACTGGGGAGATCGTCATTTCTGCAATTTGTGTGACCGCTAAGGGCCTGCCGGAGAAATGTGTTCACTTAATTACCAGCCAAACCCAGTAAACAAGGTACAGCATTTTGTGTTAAAGGAGCAGCATTCGTGGGCATAATCTGCTGAGTTGTGAGGCTTAGTATGTCGGACGACTTCGTGTCCTCCCACCAAGTTGCTGTTCGGCAGGTGGGCTTAATTCGGCTAATCCCAAGAGCTGAGCAATCAAACTGTCCAGCAACCTACTTGTTGCTCAGTGGAGGCTAAGCGCGCCAGCCTACTGGATACCCACTATGCACTTTCCCAGGAACTCTATGAGCAGGCTCCGCTACCATAGAGATACTACCTGCAATGAAGTTTTACGGTGCAGAGCATGCCAGGAGCGGCGGTTATCTGGAGCAGCGGACTCTTCTTGTTTGAAAGCCGCGGTCTCATCTTCTTGCCGCCTGAAAAGAAGACTGAAGACGACCCTATACTGTAGTTATAGCTTGACAGAAAGCGCTAGGCCGCTGAGCTGAGCGTGCAGCGAGCAGCACAGCAGCGGGAAGAAGGCCATTCCACCCTTCACGGATCTTGGTGGCCAGTTCCTGAAAAAGCGGGTCAACAGGTTCATCCGTCTCTGCTCGGTGGAATCTGCGGAGTTACATCATCGGTCCAGCGCACATCCAGCGAATCCTGCAGGCCGTAATCAACGTGCGTCAAGGGCACCTTGATAGACACTTTTCGAAGACTGTCACTTGCAGTGACTGTGCGTAGACTTTGTGCCGGCCAGCTGCTCAAAAGTTTCTGTAGTTTCCACATTAGATGTCAGAGGATTCGTGTCCAACTGCATGCTGTTGTTGGCAACGTGCCGTACCTTTAACTGCATTACCAGTAAACCGTGAGCCTGCAGATCTGTCTATGAATCTAGGAATCCCAGCCACCACTAGCCCATGTTGGTACTGTTCCCTAGCCGAAGCCGGCCTCAGCCAGCCTGCAACACCATGAATGCCAGCAGAAGCGCCATTGAATGGCAGGTTAGCAAGGCCTGGCCCCACATGACCACATGTGACCGCATAGAAGAACCCCAGAGCAACTGTACTGGAATGGGGGGCAGACAAGGAGGTGCGAGGATTCAGGGTGCTCAGCAAAGTGCCAGTTTTGTGAGCCACAGCATCGGCTAGTGCTCTGCAACTGGAAAAAGTCCGTGTTGATGTTCAGGCACGATCCGCTGCATTTTCAACCGATCGATCGCTGTGACTTGCTCCGGATAGTTTGGAAAACGATAGATAAAGAATGACAGCACCTGTGCGGGCCCCCTAGCTGCAAGTGTGGTGAATGAATGAGTTGTCATGGTTCCAGATTCCAAGCAGCACACTTTCAGTCAGCAGAAGGGGACATTTGAAAACTCAGGACGTGAAATCCAAGCGGTATCATTTGCTCCAGACACATGGGGATTCTTGGGTGGGCAGCTTCGAGGCCAAGCAACGCAGCAAAAGCAATCGTCGTGTCAGATTTGTTGACCGAGAGTCAGAAGCTGCAGGCCTCTGCATCCTCAATCTTATGGGGCGAGCTCTTTCCAGAGAAGGAGCACGGCCATGAGCTATGCGTGATTTATGGCCCAGCTCATTGCAGGAGAGGAACTTCTTGCGCCAAGTCTTGCAAGAAGGCAGCCAGAACTTTGGGATTAAGCAGCTCGCATGCATCTGGCTGGCTCCAGTAATGCAAGACCCGCCACGGGTTCCAGGCTTCCCCTATACAGATGACCAAAGCTAGCGGAGCTCAGCGCGAGGTCTACGTATAGAGCTATGAGGGTGGGGGGGTTCGGAACTGATCTAGCAGTATTTGCTGTGGGTTGCAAGCTCATGGCACCAAGAATGTTTGTTGTCCTTCTTCTGTACTAGCTTGTGGCATCGGCGGGCCCCGTGCAAATGTGTTGAAGAGTTGCAGCTTCTGGTGTTCCGCATAGCATTCAGGGATACATTCCAGCTGGAGTACCGGATCGCCTGGAACCCCATTGCCAAGCAGCAAATGGAAGCCAGGGGCGAGACCCGATCTTTGCAGCTTTGTTTGCTGGGGAGTTGCTACTGCCACTGCTGGTGCAATTGATTGTCATGCCGCAGGACCCTGGATGGCAAGTTGGTAATTCTCATTCATGGCTCTGGGCTGAGATAGTTGCTGTATGAAGTCAAAGAGCAGACACTGCCGTCATCCCAACTTGGTTGCTGAGGATATACTGGCCGTATTACTGATTCCTGGGGCTGGGCCAAGATGGTCAAACCTTTGTGGAAGCAGGGCTTTACAGCTGCCAGGTTACGCAATTTATGGGTTTTTGCGCGGGCAGAAGTAGACGATCGAGAGCTGAGCATCCGGCGTTCAGGTTTGCCTCTTGGACATGCCTGGCTTCGGAAGGAGCAGCATAAATTTGTTTCTGGCCGGCAGCTAGAGAACACGTGGCAAAACTATCTTGGCTTTCTGCGCTTCCTAGGCGATGGAATGCACCTTTGGCCAGCTGGTCACATGTCCGCAGAGGGGAATGTGTGGCATAGGTGGCCAATGGCAGGCAGAGATGCGCACTATTTTGCAAGTGGGCATAATCAAGGCAGCATCTGGACGCCATTGTCCTCTCGAAATTCATCGAGGGCATGCGATTCCGCAAGCCTGCAAGGCAGCATGTTCTAAACCCTGTCAAGCCGTCAGACATGCTCAATGGTTCCATGTGTTCCGCTGTCGGCGATGACTGCTTGTAGAACATTTCAAGGGTGTAGCATAACGACAGCAGCCACATGGAGGTCACTGGAAGGGTTGGCATGGCTTGAAACATATTTGCGGTGTGTACGCCTGTGCAAGAAGTCAGTGTCTTGTACATCTGTGAACGGAAACGCTGTAAGGGTGCTCTCTGCAACATCAACCTCTGATACTTGCGCGTGTCAGGGACGAAAAGCGGGAACGCTATGAGATGTAGCAATCGCCCAAAAAGCCACACATGTGCTGCCACCGCCGTACGCCCCCAAAGCCAGACCCCTCTATCTAAGACAAAACCATGACCATGTTTTGTCTGAAGCCGCCCCCAGAGCTCCTTTCTTTTAGTCTGCTCCAAAACCACCCAAAACGGAATAGGATTCTCCCAAATTATCCATGGCATAGGACTACAAGGAGTTTCGACGAACCCTCATATGCAGAAGACAACTCACGGCAGAAAGAGACACCGGCGGGTCAAAAGAAAGCCAGTGCGGCTGCTTTCATGGGCCAACGCAGACCTGCACCACTTACCAGAGAGATTGGAAGCAAGGTGGCCCTCCCGCTCGCAAGCGACACTCACATTCCACCAAGGGGAATGCTTTGCATGCGCTGACAGGGAGAGAGAGTGGTAGTGAGGCAGTTTTTCTGCTGGCAAGCAAAGGGATGATAGAGTTTGCCTGTGCTTGCATATCCAACGTGCTTGCCAGCTTGGTGACCTACCGCGAGTCCTGCCAGTCGGTGCTGCGACTTTTCCGGGAGTCGCCTCACCTGGTGTCTAGTCAGAGTCCTGGCTGCAGGAATCGGTTCCTTTGTGTGTTGCATGGCCGGACATAGTCCCACCCAATCAGAATCATGCCCTTATTTGAGGCATGCTCTAATTGATCCGATCTTCACTTTGGACGACGTTTACCCTCTAGAGGCACCTTACGGAGCCCACAGTAAAGAATGGATCGCTGAAAAGCCAGGCAGGCATCATATGAGTTTCCAGCTGTGAACATATTAGTTGTTCAAAGCATGTGCTTCGGAGGCAAGCAGGCTATTGAGTTTGACAAATTCCTCGGGACCTGGGCAATACCATGTTTGCCGAGTGGTGCTGTGCGCGTTCATCCGCTGTGATGTCAGCATGAGTCGTGCAGGAGAAGCAAGACGTTTCTTTGGACCATTTTCACAGGCTGCTCGCTCCAGAACGGGTTCATGCCGCACACTTGCGTTGTACACATTGAGGCACTTCAGATGCAACGTGTGGTCGAGAGGCGCTTCAGGCTTGCCTCTCCTTGGCTTGCAGCTCTTGCTGTATTGACAGCAAGTGCTGAGGGCCAATCCAGGTTGTGATGCGCTGCAGACAGCATCTTACAATGCGAATCTGCCTTTCCCACGTGACAAAGGCCCTTGCCTCGGTTGCCCCATTTCTGGCGGTTTCAGCTTTTTGCCCTACTTGGCATTCTTGTTGCAGCAAGCTGGGCTGCGCGCATTGAATGGAGCTGCTGTCAATGAGGAATTTATCTGCGAATCTCGAGCGGGAGCAAACGGAGCAAGCTTGAACGCGCACGTGTTCTTGCCTTATAGCTATGCTTTAAGTTGCGGATTTGGTTACGGATTGGTGGTCTCAAGGGTGGATCATTCTTGCCAAGGCTATTCTTCTGCAAGTGCGCTCTCAGCTTTTTGTTGGCAGGAAGAGCCTTGATGGTGTTTCTCGTGTGACCTCCGTTTGTCACAGGTACATGAGGGACCGCCTTGCTGCCTTCATTGCGGGTGTGGAGAAGGCAATCCATGCTTCACAGCCCTGCATCGCACGTACTTTCTCGATAGTCCTCAGAGCCAAGGCGCCCAAGGAGATTCCGCCCTGGGCACTGGAGGTGTGCCTGCATGTGCCTGTTGTGGAAACTTTCATTGTGCCTCAGCTGTGCGACTGATACTGACTTCTCAAGACTGAAGGTAAGTTCGACCACAACATCCAGCTCTTTAGGCTCAAAGTCTCTTCCAAGTTGGGATCTTGGCTGATGAAAGTGGGGACAGACAGAGGGGGGTACTCTGAGCGCTGCTCAGTTCGGGTTTGCAACAACCTTGCCTGAGGCAAGGCTTCCAAAAGTCGAACAAAAGGTCAATCAATCAGTCATTACTGAAAAATGAATCTCACGGCTCCATATGTCCAGTCTGTTAATCCCAAGGTGTAGACTCTCCAGCTGGAAAGGTGGCAGCCTCGCTTGCTTGCAATGGGCTTGGTCCGCAAGAAGAAGAATTTGCGTGTCTGAAAGGCTAGAGAGTTCAATGCCTTGGAGACCGTTCAAGAGGTGGCAGAGGCTTCCCTACCGAAGGTTGCAGCAGTACACACGGAGAGACAGCGTTCGGGAGAGGTGCTGTCAAGATGCACCACAGCCAGACAAGAATCGCGACCCGGGTCACACGCCTCTGCTAGGGAGGCCGCTTTGTTTTGCATCACCCTGCGTGAGGTTGCCAGCTTTGCAGGGTGGGCTGTCCAGGCAGAAGACTTCGTTGGGCAACTACCACAGGGGAAGCTGAAGAAGCATAGCGGACAGCCATCGCTACTACCATCCCTGTGCCTCGCAGTTCATCTACATGCCAACATGGCAAGACTCTGGAATTAGTTGGGCCTTGTGCACATGCTGTTGCCCCAGGGCTTTGCAGCAAAGCAAAGGGCATCAGACGCATTCTCAGCTTTTCCCACGTCAATTTTTATTGTGCCGCGGACCAGCCTTGGAACTTCATGTAGCTCAAGCTCCTTCAAGTAAAGATGGACGGTTTTGTGGGTCTGAGGTTTGCAAGCTCAAAAGGCTTCAGGGAGACCGCAAATCTCCGCGAGACCTGGAGGACAGACAGAGCAGCCAAGTTGAAGCCCAGCGGCGCACAAAAAAAGTAAGCAGGACAGATGCAGCAAGCTCAAAGGGCTTCCGAGATCGAGCTGCAGGACATGTCCTGATGAAGACTTGGCTGAAATCAACATGCGAAAGAAGCTTTCTCAGCCGCGTTCCGCCACTCTTGGCATCATGCATCCAAGGAAGCAGAAGCATAGCTCTGCAGTTTCTTTAGGGATGAGCCGCCACTCGGTCTGTGAAAAGACTCCGTGGGATCTTCGAAGTACCAGCTTCCCGGACAGCTCAGGATATGGAACCAGCTTCCTTGCCCAGACTCGCTCGGAACCGAGACTCCGGGAGAACCCGCCCCTCAAGGACCAAGCTTCCTTAGTTACATAGTTTGCTGAGCATGTGTCTGCGGATCATGCGTTTGTTGGACTGCTCGGGGGTGGCTAGGAGCTTCACGACCGCGGGAGCCTGAGTTGTTAGACTCTTTGTCTCCTCAGCGTGGATTTCGAAATCTGGCTGACAGGGAGCCGCGAAGTTTCCGAAGCTGTTCCTGGCACCTCAGCTACGCTCAGTACTTTTGAGCTGCTTTGGACGGGCTTTCTGGATTTTCAGTGCGCTGGAGTGTCTGGTTACATTCACCAACGTCTTTGGATGGAAAATGGCCGCAGCATGTGTCAGCGGCGGTAAACAGCATGGCACCGTAAACTCTTAGAATTTAGAGCCTCAAGCTGCTCAGGCCTGCCGAAGATCGGTCGGCACAAGGCCCGATTGCAGCAGCTTGGGATGTTGAGAAAGCAGTTTTCTGCGGAGACCAGGCCTCTGTCCATCGGACTGCAGGAGGCGTCGTTGCGAGGCTGCAAGCATAAGCCCCTACGCAGATCACAGATTTGTTTGCGCGTTACATGCCAAAGCCTACTAGTGCGTGAGAATGCCAACCCTAGGATAATATAATGAAATGAGTAGTTTAGTATGGTTTAGTGAAATTGCCCGAGCAAAGCAGTCAAGGCAATCTGTCGAACCGAGCTACCCCCGGCTCCCTTCAAGACGGAGGTGTGGGCATGTGCAGTGGTTTGAACAAATCCTGTGTCCACTCCTGCACCGCGCCAGGCTGTGAAGTGCAGCATCACTAGGTGTGCCAATAAGGCGACGGAACGACGCGACTGGGCTTCGCTTTAGTCCAGTGCTTTCAGAGAAACCCGTCTGTCATCGTAATTGTCTTTGCTTTGCTTGCGCTTCAAATCAAGCTCCACCTTCAGCTAAAGTCCTCTGCCTCTGAAGGTTCCATGGAATGCTCATCTTTCGCAGGATCTATGCCCCTGCAAGACTCAGGACTGGAGGATCCCCAGCCTGCTCAGCATCGGCTCATCTGTCGCTCGAACTTGATGGACAGGGGAGGGAACTCATACCACCACACGGCTTTGCAGGCAGCTGCGACGTGTCGTGTGCATCAACCCAGCCAGAATGGACACCAAGATGTCAGAATGGATAATTATCACACGCTAAGCATTGACAAATCAATATGTACAGAAGCCCGAACTGAACTCACAACACGTCAGACATTTTCATGCAGTGTGCAGCAGCCAAGGTCCAGCCAAACGAGCGAAAGACGCAGTTGAGGCCGCCGGCTACAGCTACTCTCCCCGTGCAGCCCAGGCAAAAAAGTCAGCCAGAAACCCAGAAACCCGGGCAAGGCAGCAGCTTTGTCAAGCAGCGCAGTCAGACTTTGCTGAGGTCAAGGAGGTCTTAGAGGAGCTGAAGGGCTCGATCCCAAATTTTTAGTCAATTCCAACCATCAAAGGTGGCTGGGCTTTGCGGGACATCTTCCCGAATTCTCTTAAGCAGGTATGCAGGCAAGCTTACCTAGGCTGACCGTGCCTAGCTTTTCTGGCTGTAATGAGATTTCGTTGCCGAAGGCAATGTCTTCTTCTCACGGCTTGCTCTTGTTCAGATTTGCGCAGCTTGGTCGATCTCCTGTCCCCACATGCACATAGAGCGAGGGCTTTGTGCACAAACAGCCGCAGGCGTCACCTAAGATCGGTTTAATCCCTTTGTCCCTTGATGTGTCCAGCCGTAGGTCATACAAGAGTGGCCGGACGGCCAATTCATTCAGGTGGGTGTCAGCCTTTGATGACGTGGCCTTTGGCTTTTGGCAATTTGGGTTGTCAGGCTGTGACATTAGCGCGATTTCAGCCGAACATTGACGAAGAGTTGCAGGCCCACACTCTCCTTTGCAGCTCTTCCAGGCAGCGTATTTGTTCATTGTAGTTGCAGGAGAGCCTCCTAAGCTGCTTTGCGCAAACCTTGGAGCCTGGGGCCAAGGGTTTGAATTCTCGAACTTAGGGAGAGCTCTTTCCAGCTGAGGCCGCAACATCACAGACAGTCACCGAAACCCAAAAGACGCAGAGCGGCATGGCAGCATCAGACTGCGGGCTTCTCTCGGGATCGTGTGCCCAGGTTTGCATGCGACATGTACTGGAGAGATGCTTTGCCAGCTCAGATCCTTCGTCATTCTGTTGCAGACATCAAACTTGGAGACCTTCGAAAACCGTCTCTTTTCCTCGAGGCTTGGTGCCCGAGGGCCTCAGAAGTCATTCGAGTCACAGTATCAAAAAAGAGACCGACCATATGCAGGATGTGAGGCTCCCGACGGAAGAGCTGCCTCGAAGTGCATTTCCTCTCGAGGCCGATCAGAACGGGCCTGTCCATAGCTTTCGCACGAACTTGCCAAGCTAACTAAGCTTGATAGCGGGGACCTGCACTTCTGATCAGTCCGGTGCAGTGCAAAGCTATGCAAAATGCAAAGTTTCTTACGGAAGTCAGCACTAGTCGGGTAGCAATGGTAAAGAGCAGAGCTCAACGCAGACAATTGATGCCGCTCGAAACTGCTTGCCTGCCTGCCTAGCTGACCAGCAGACCTCGCGACTTTGCTCAGAATTACTTGCATTACATTTCGGGCATGCGCGCTGCAACCTGTTTGGGGTGTAGAGCCTGTCTGTTGCCTGCACAGCGCTTGGCAGAGCATGGAGCAATGTGGATGTGGCACTGCACGATGTTCTGTTTTGTCAGGAGATCCTTTCGCGGAACATTTTGTGGTTGATTGCGCGATCTGTGTGCAAACTGGCCACGGCCTTTGCCTTGTCTTTGGATAATGTCAACGCATGCTCAACTTGAGGACCTGACACCTGCACCACCTGGAGTTGGACAGGTGCCGTTGAGAAGGGGAAGATCAGCTTGCAATAAAAACAAAAACCTGCTGCAAGGAAAAGCCTCCTTCGGTGGGCGGTGTACCTGGGGCCATGGAGACACTTGTGGCTGGCATGGCCAGGCCGTAGTGGGCTACCTGAACGACATGTTTCCTTGATTCATCTTACTCCTCTCACCAGCGCAAAAAGGCTCAAGCTCAACCAGCTTGCAATGTGCAACGTGCAAAGGCTGAAGCGCAGATTGAGAGGCTAGAGATCTCGCAAAATATCACAGTTTGAAATGTGTGCCGCACCTTCCTACGGAGAGTCCTGTTTGGACCGCTCATCCACAAACAGTTGTGTACAAGCTCGCGAGAAAGACGTGAACAGGTTTACAGTAGAGGTAGTTCCGCCACAGCGATGATTTCCCTCAGCCCGCCGAGCTGGCGTGTGAGATTGGCTGAGTGTTCGCCCAGTGTCCAGCCACGACCGGCACAGCGACCCAAAGAGGTGGCAGGGGTGTCATATGCTTCTGGCTTCGTGACGGCTGCTCTGGCTGGGCTAAGCTGCAAGCATCTTGCTGCGCAGGGGCGCAGCCGATTGGACAGGCGCCTGTCCTCTGTAAGGCAAAGCAGCGACAAAAAGGAAACAAGCGACACAAGCGACGGAGAAGTTCCCGTTCCCACGAGATGGCAGCTGCTGAAATTTGCTGCTCCTTTGGCAGCGGTAAGCGTGACAGGTCCGATCCTGTCAACAATTGATACATCGTTCGTTGGGCGCTGTGCTGGAACAATAGAGTTGGCGGCCCTTGGGCCTGCTTGCACCGTTACAGACCTTATCTACTTGATTTGCAGCACCGTATCAACTGCAGCTATCAACCTCTATGCCAAAAACGAGGAAGAGTCAAAGCTAAAACGATTCAATGCAACATGCCTGTCGGTGGGTTTCTTCGTGGGAGTCCTTGCAGCTCTAGTGTCATACACCTGTGGAGAACCGCTGCTGCGAGCTCTTGGAGCAATGCCGGTGATGATGCAGGTTGCGCACAAGTACGTTGTTGTACGCGCCCTTGGACTTCCTCTGGCCAGCATGGCATCTGCTATGTATGGACTTTGTGTTGGAAGAGGAGACACGCAAACACCGTTGGCAGTCCAGGTGTATTTGTCAGCCCTTTTGAATGTCTGCTTTGACTGGCTGCTTTGCGCCGTCCTTCCTTGGGGAGCTTGTGGAGCGGCCTGGGCAACGGTTGCAGCTCAAACTGCCAGCTTTTGTGCCTACTTTGCTTTGATGCGTCGGAAGGGGCAGCTAGCACTACCAAGCCCAGAGGATTTCTTGCCAACCTTTGCCGAAACAAAGCCGGTGTTTTCGATCTTCCTCCCGGTCTCTTTCATCGTGATCTGCGTGCTCTCAATGTATGCATGCATGTCAGGCTTCGTGAACACCACGCAGCCTTTGCAAATGATTGCAGCGTACAAGATTTGGATAACAGTCTTTGCATTCTTCGCACTGTGTGCGGATCCTATGGCAGCTGCAACATCTACGAAACTTCCTCCTTTCATCCTCGAAGGATCCAGCCCAAAGGCAAGGCTGTTTGTCCGTCGAGCCATTAGCTGTGCTGCTGGGGTTGGCGCAGCGGGAGGTGCCTGGGCATTGGATCTTTCTCCTGTCGTTATTCAATTCAAACCATCCATTTCGCTGTGCAGCAAAGTTTTGGACAGGTCTTCTGGGTGCAGCAATCCTCCGCTTCGGCCCTGGCCTCTTCACGCAGGATGCAGCTGTCATGGCGGGTGCGAGAAACGGCTTGTTTCAGTTCATTGCGCACCTCGGCCTTGAACATCAGACTTCCCAGTCATACTCATTGCGCTCATAGCTGCAACCGCTTCGAGAACATAGCCCGTGAAGCCTGCCAAGGATTCTTTGCTTCATGCACCCCACCCGGGTTTGTCAGAACTCGCTGGTGGTGCATGGCGACCTCTTCTTCTACGTCATTGCCCAGACATGCCTGTCCCTGCTGTTTTTTGGTGGATTGACCTTGCTGGCGAGCAGGCAGACTGGCCCCTGCATGCTCTTGCCCGGGGGTTTTGCGCTACTGCATGTTTGCTCGGTAGTGTACGTGGAAATTGTGCTAGCATTCGTCTTGCTCTGCGCGACAGGTCCCACGAGGCTTAAAGATAATGTCTGTAGTTTCGCTTAGCTTCTTGTTGGTTCGGTGATGCCGAGGGCACCCTTGGCTGGACATTTTTGCCCAAACTCCAATTGCTGCCGCAGCTTCTGTCTGATTGTCTTCGACTTGTTTAGGCAGACTGCCCTGCCGCTCTTACATGTCTAGCTGCATCTGTAACCAAGTTGCATACTTTGACGGTTTTCCCTGAAGGTGCGTGTCAGGAACCATCTCGGCCTATCGCAGCATGCTGACAGCGACCCTGATCTTCTACATGGCTAGTCTCAAGACGTACGGATTTCGCGTGCGGTATTTGAACCGCAACGTTGGGGTCAGCAGATAGCTGGATATATCGCTCAAGCGTAGACAAAGGGCTTGCACGCGTTGTGCCACTTCCTGATCGAAATCCGAAGTCACGCTTTGCATCGTTGCAGGAGCACCCTGCTGGTCAGCCTCTCCCTGCGATCTTCAGGTCTCAAAGATCAAGGAATATTCCAGTTGCCTGGCATGCAGTCGTGTATTCCGCTGACAGGTCACGTAGCTGTTTGATGCCGTGCAGTTAGATCACTTCCCCCGTTGTGTCGGAGCGACTGAGGTTGGCGACTGCTGCGATGCACTTGGAACCTCCATCTAGCCGGAAAATGGGTCTTTCTGCGTTTGCTGAGGTTGCAAAGTGTCAGACGCGTTCGCCTCAGCATAGCTTTTACGGGCGTCGTGGCTATGGGACCTTCGCTCCTTTGAAGGCTGCGTGAGTTGGACTTGAGCGACAACAACTTTGGGGCCAAGGGTGTGGCCAAGGTCTGCTCACTTCTTGCCTCATGTCGCAGCCTCATGCTCCTCACCACTCTTGAGGTCCTCCAAGCTGGCAAGGAGCATCTGGAGCTGTTGGATCTCAGCGCGGTCCCCTAGTTGTTCTGGTGATCAGCCTTCCGTTGCAGTGGGTTCATGTTCCTCCCAGCGGCCACAGAGATGATAGCGCACATTTGTTTGCAATGACTGCCTTGATCCCAGGTCGGAACAGACTAGGTGATGCTGGTGCAAAAGCTCTGGCGGAAGTCCTCCTGAACTGTGCTCTGCTGAGTGCATCCTGCATCAGTGCGTGGGCAGCATGCGTTGAAGTTTAAGGCCACAGCATCTCAACTCTGCGGCTGAGAGCGAACGGTGCGATTTCTCATTTGAGAGAATTGTCAGCTGTCATGTGTGCATACTACACGTGCAGTATCGCAATGAGTTGTTTGGCGTGTAACATCAAGAGGTATTGGTGATGAGGGTGGTGAAGCTCTTGCGGAGTCCCTCATGTTGGAGCCCTACCGTGTCTTGAACATGATGTCAGAGAGTAGCCCGTGGCGAACCTCAGAAGGTCAAGCTTTGAATCAGATCTGCGCACTGCCAAGACTTCCTACAAGAGATTTGGACAGTAATCCTAAGCGTGTGCAGAAGATTTAAGACTAGCAGTGTAGGGGAGTGTACGATTGATTACTGGCAGAGTCATCATCAACTGTACCTTGAGCGAGGGAGGAGAAGGAGGAGAAGACAGATGCATTTAAGTAATGACTCTCCACCGCCAAAGCTCGTTGTTCAGCAGGCAATCGCACCGCAACGAGTGTGTGAACACATGAAAAGCAAGATTATTTTGGGAGCAATAGTGCCTAGGCTTCATGTAGCGCTGGCAGTGGATCCATTTGAGTTTGTCCTCTTACACACGCCAAGGTCAGTGACATCCTTGCGCGAATTTGACTTCTCGCAGAATGAGGTATGATATTCAGACAAGCTGTGAGAAGCCCCAGTGCAGTCCTCTCAACGAGCTGCACGCATTGTGCAAAGCATCTCACGCAGGTCCACTTGCAAACCTATGCCGTGCTGCTGCGCGCCAGCGGTCTTAAAATGTTCTTTTTCAAAGTCCCTGCCGATCCCGGGCAAAATCCCCTATGTGTCTCAGGCCACTTGTTCTTCGCGCGGCCTTGAGAGGCCCCGGATTTCTGAGGTTCTGTGGAGTCTGTGCTGTTAGTTTGGAACATTCTGTAGGCTTCGGCTGGATAGCAACCAACCGTGGCCGACAAGTGATAGCTTTGAGGCAGGCACCACAGGAGAGATGCATGCATTGCTCACAAGATATGCAGAGGCTCAAATCGCTGCCTTCACTGATCAGCTCAGTCTCACCCCTGGCAGCTGACATTCCACGTGCTTGTCCATGCGTGTGCCTTCTGTAGACAAGTCTCTTGCGCCCATTATCATGTTCAAGGTGGCCTCCAGGCGGTGCCATCCCTGCAGTTGTTGAGTCTGAGGCCGTGACAACCGGCTGGCTTTTAACTCTGAGCTGAGCGGCCGGCCAGGCGGTGTGGACTCTCATCTTCTGCCTGCAAGCTTTTTGAGTCGCTGGCAACAAACTCAGCCTGAATCCCAGAAACTTGCCTATCTGCAGCTCTGACATGCCCTTGACTCTGCAATCTCTGCGACAGACTCTCCGGCAGCTTGATGTTGCCTGCAATGGCATGCGGCAGGCCTGATTTCCGCGCTAGTTGATGGTTTCAGGACGATCTCAGCAGCAACTCTGTGCCAGAGCGTGGCTCCCAAGATTGCTGCGGCTTTGACATCCCCCAACACCGGCCTGCAGGAGAGTTGGCCCATGAAAATCTGTTATGAACAAGTCTTGGGTGTTCATTACTGTTCATTGTGCTCGTTGTTTCCAGGAGCTTGACCTCAGAGACAATCGGCTTGGCGCGCAGGATGCATTTGCCGTGGCGCTCGAGCAGGCGGTTGAAGTGCAGGTTGCGAAGACTCAGTGGCATGAAGAGACCCGAAGGTTTGTGCCGGCGCGGCTCAGGCTCCTTGGGACATGCGGATGACGGGTGTAGACTGCCGGAGTCCCATCGTGTGATACTCCTGACTCCTGGCTCAGAGCAATGGGGCACCTCAAGTCCGTAACCGTGCAAAGACCACCGAAGGTGACTGATAAAAATCATCCCTTGGCTCGGAACATTGCTCACGGACAAGGTATCCAATGCGCAGAGACTGCGGCAACTTGCTTTCTCGTGTCATGTCCGCTCGTGCGCCTTTTGCAAGCTTGCACACGTCATTTTTGGGATGCCTTGCTTGTTGGATCGCTAATTCTCCAGTCGCAGTCGGAAGGTATGGTATGTTTCTGTTTGGCTGCGTTTTTCATAAGTCAGATTTTTGTCTACATACTAGCTCCTGCATGCGGAGGATGCAAACTGCACCGTGCGACCAACGGAGCGGGGCCCAGAATCATGCTGGAAGGATCTCAAAGGATCTTAAGAGGTTTGTGAGAGCAGCTGCAGCTGAGCCTTTCCTTCCAAGGCCACCTCAGGTGAGCTGGAGGCTCGCCAGAATGCTTACACAAGTCTTCTTTGCTGCATTCCTGGAAATGGAAACAAATTGATCCTCAGCTCAAGCTTGCATCGGAATGCATTGGTCGCACTAGCTGACGTAATTTGTATGCACGTTTGCAGGCATGCAATAAGTTAAAGAAAACACACAGCTTGATGGGGTGGCCACAGCCGTACAAGACGTTGATGTATTCGTGGGTGCAGGCAGTCCAAGAACGCCCAGGTAGGGCACAAAACTGTTCTTTGCGACTTTTGGTTCCGGCCTGTGGAGTCAACTTGCAAGTTTACACATCTCTTTCGGGTCTGAACCAAGAACTTGGCGAACAATGAGATGACTGCTGAAGCATGCTCAAGGCGCAAATCACACAAGTTCCAGCACTTTCCATTACGCAGAGCTGTTTGCAGACTTGCCGCAGCGCTCCCCTATTTCCATGGCCTTGAGGACTTAGTTGGAGCTCTGCTGGAAGATGTGTGACACATCTTTCTGCAAGGAGCTGTTGCTCTACCACAATGCTTTGATAGGAGATGTGGGCGCACAGGTCTGGGCCCGCGCTTTGCTTTGTGATGGCTGGTTTGAAGTGTCAAGAGTTACGAACACCACGGCGACCGAAGCCATTCCAGACATGCTGGCAAGCTTCCAGTTGAAGAGTTCGTACAGATGGTAGCATCCAATTGTCTATCTTCTGAAAATGGTTGCTCTGCGTCGGCATTGCAAACCACGTAATGAGCTCTAGTAGATTCGAGCTTTGTAAGGATTGGATGATACTCACTATCACCACCTTATGTGCAAAATTGTAGGCGCTTGCCGAAGTGCTACATCCTGACCGTTGGCCGTTGCAACCTGAGATTGATAACCTCCAAAGCCCACGCTCCGGATGTGTCGCGGTATTCTTGAATTGGCTGCGAGGTCCGGGAGAGGCCTGAAGACCCTGAGCTTGGCCGCGTGCAGCATTGGCGACGCCGGGGCATCTCAATTTGGAAGCCCTTTGGATGCAGGTATATTTGTTTCCTTGTTTTGGATCGTGCAGGCCGGATGTCAAGCCCTGATGGCTGCCGTCCGTGAGTACCAGGTCATTTTCTTGCGTTATGCAAGTAGCATTGCATCAACATATGCATCTGTTTGTCACACTTGCCGCCGTTGCCCGACAAGGCGTTGACGTCATTGGATCTGTCTTGCAACGCCATTACCGACGACTCCACCCCGGCAGTCGCGCTGGTGCCTGTGCCATCATCGTAGCTTCGAGTCTTTTGCTGAATGGTGTTTCGGCAGGTGCTGGCTCAGTCAAATTCCTCACTGGAAGCATTGTCGCTCTCGATGAACTTGATCAGCTCTTCTCCAAGCATGCGCTGCTCTTGCTTGCAATGCTTGCATCATGTCTTCGCAAGTTCAACCAAACTCTGCAAAGGCTCATATGGCATCTCCCAGCTCATGGATGGTGTTCCTCTGGCATGAGTTTACCTCACTTTGCATGTTTTTGCAAATATCGCGCTAGCATGCCTCGCGCGTTAGCGTGCATCTGCCCGGCATGCCTGGCCACCTGGCTTCTAGCAGGCCGTGAGTGGCGTATAGTGGCGTGCTATGCTGTATCATCTTGTGCAGAGCATTACGTGCAGGCTGCGAAGGAACCAGCAAGGCCGTCGTTGATATACGCCCCTGCGTCGCATCGCTGGGCTACCCTGCCTGTCAGTAATGAAGCTCGAGTCGCCCAGAATCCAGAAGCAGTTTCTCCCACGTCGCTGGAAACGCTGCCGGGGCTCTGCTTGTGATGCGCTGCCACGTGTTCAGCGCACCCACGTTTTCACCGCCTGCGCTCGCCTCGCCAATCCATTCCATTGCCTCCAGATATTCTATTCTGAGATATTCTGAGCAGATCCACAGAACAAGGCAGAAGCAAACAACGATGCAAGACAGCGGCGTGGAGCACCTAAGTAGCCTGTTTCCAGATTTTATTGTCTGCACGCCAAATCCGAGCAGGTTTTTGTGGTACATCTAGCATATTTAGCAAGCGTATAGGACTCATAACAAGTCCATATGTGTCAGAATGGATGTGCTTCTTGCCAAAATGTCTGCATGAAAGCAGCGCCCGGTTCCGAGCGTGACTCGTCGAAAGACCTTCCTGCTAGCTGGTGAAATATGCCATGTTGACCGAAAGATGATCAGGATGTGTAGATACGGGGAGTGGTTGGCATGGCAAACTGTGTAGGCTTCGGAAAGGCCTCGCACACTCGGAGGGCCAAGTGAATGCTAGTTCTCGTGGAGTTATACCAAAGCAAGCAGAAAGGGACAAGGCTCGAATAGGCTCGAGCCACGCATTCATGTTCCAGACGCCTCAGTTGGGAAACGAAGGAAACTTGGGCATAATTATTTTCATGTAATTCCATTGTCACAGGTCGCTAGCAACCCAGAAGGAGCTCTATGCCAGATCGACGTGTCGACGCAGGCGAAGCATGCATCAGACTGATTTGTTTGCCGCATGTTGCCGTGACGTCAGGACGGCGGTCAAAGCAAGACCAGCTTCGTAGCAAATGACGCGTTGAGTCCGCCCACCTACGGTAAGCTTGCAGGGAAACATGTCTCTCCAGGTCCTCGGGCACGTAGCGTAAATGAAGCAATTTGCAAGCTTGCGTTGGGACCACTACCACTGAGGTCCCCGAAGCAGCAGCAAGGCAAGTATTTGCCTTCGCGTAGCTTGTTTGCCTTCCCCATATCCTGCCCATACCTGGTTGCCTTGCATCTGCATCCACCTGCAGGTAAAATCCAAATTTGCGGGCCTGCGCTGAAAGAAGGCTATTGACAGCTTGCACTTGCAGTTGTTGCTGTTGCAGTTGTTGGTGTTGGGTGGAGTTGGGAATTGATGAGTAGCGTTCTCCAAATGACAGGCCAGCAGCATACCTAGGCCTAGGTCGAACTAGAGTAACTAGAGCAAGAGTCCAGGGTTTTACGTCAATGAGAGCTTGTGTCTCAATTACACCTTGCCAGGCGAGGGCCCAAGGCCGCGAAACGTGCGGCTTGTTATTGAGTTGTAAATGCAACTCTCATGCGCAACCAAAGCCGTGAAATCCAGGAGGTTTAAGTGCCTCTTCAGAACTTTTCAGAACCCCAGGTGATTTTATTTGACCTGAATTTGGTTGCCATGTGTGCAAAGCCAAAGCAGCTCCGGTGGCTGGACCGCAAGAAGCGTGCTGCCACAGCCCGGAGCAACGATGCTGCTTCTGAGCCGGGAAATGAAGGAAGGCGCAGGAAGCAAGTAATGGGAAGTGGTGCATGTGCAAATCTCACAGGCTGCAGTCTTCAAGCTTACCTCAGCGCAGCCCCTTAGGGCAGTCGGGTTGTCCAGCATGCAGAGCACTCTGCACATTCCACGCGATCCAAGCGTCTGTACTTTGCCTGATAGACTTTTGTACTTTTGCCTGATAGGTGCTTAAGGTTTAAGTCTACACTTATTGTGCTCGAGTCCCAAGAGGACAAATTTGTCTCTGTGGCACAGACTCTGAAAAACATTCCATGCGTTCTTAGCTCTTTTGCTACGAAGCCCAGATAGCAGAGCAACGGTGAGGTCTTGACAGAAATTAAGGCCTCCCCCACGTTCCATCCAATGATAGCAACAAAGACCTCCCATGCTTTGCTTATCGCGACGGCGACTAAGAGCAGGACGGGGAAGGAGGAAAGCATGCTTTGAAGCTTGCTGACCTGCTGTGGCAGGAGCACGTCTTTCCTTGCTCTTCGGGATGCTGTATCGGTACGGCATGCAGCGAACTTGGGGTCTGCACGGCGGACTTAGTCAGAGATTCTGAAGACATGGCAGATCATAGCTGACGTATCCTTGGCAAGCCAGGCTGCTGGTCAGCGGCCTTGGGCTAAGACCTTTGCACCTGCAAATCACAGAGCTTGTGAAACTTCCTGCAGCACTGCAGCTGGACTCAACGTTGCCTTAGGAGGCAGTACACATGTACCTGACATTTCAAACCTTGATTGGATTCTGGAAAGTAGCTTGAATGTTTCCTCTGAGTTTGATGAACAGGTAGAACAAGTGTTATAGTCAGCAAGAAGTCTTGCAAGGGGCTGCTAGCTGCATGTATGCTGCGTCAGTGCGTACAAGCTGCGTTGGTGCGGGATTTGTCGGAGTGACGCCGCGACGGGGTGCCTTCACTGCGCATCCTTCCAGGATTTGCACGGGCTATAGTTTCCCCGGGCCCGTTTCTGCAAGCAAAGGTCGGAGATACAGGCTTCACGGTCTGCTAGCTTGCGCTGCAGGCATGTCTGCAATAAGGCGACGAAAAGTTGCCGTAATTGGAGGTGGGCCTGCGGGCATGGCCACCTGCAGATTCCTTGATGACTTTGGTCACAGTCCCACTGTGTTTGAAGCTGGAGATGAGAGTGGCGGGATCTGGGCACCACGACCAATAAACCACGTCGTGTACCAAGGCCTGGTAACCAACATTCCTACGATGTGCATGCAATCATTTGATTTGGAACTGATGGCTTCAAATCATTAGGAGTGGATTTTGAGGTATTAAGTGCAACATGACTCTTGCGAAAACCTGTGTTTGTACGCAGTTAAAGCTAGAAACTTATGTTAGTCAATCCTTCGTCTACGCAGAGATTCTGGCACCGCCTGACACCGCGAGCATGCAGCCGAGGATTTTCCCAAGGGCCTCAACAGCTATGTCACCGGTCCCGAGCTGGGCGGATACCTCATACAGTATACTGACCACTTCAACTTGAGACGTTTTGTACGATTTGGTTCAGCTGTGAAGGCCGTTCAGGCGCTGAATTCAACGGAAGAAGATCTGGCTTGGAAAGTTTCATGGGAAACTGCAGACTCCACTGTCAGCACTGAATTGTTCGATGCTGTGGTTGTAGCAACGGGTCACTATGAGTTCCCATACACACCTGAAGTTCCAGGACAGCGTGCTTGGCTAGCAGCATCTAGCCACCGACAAGTTGTGCATGCTATCTCTTACGACGATCCAAATCTCTTCGTGGGCCAGTCGGTCTTGGTGGTCGGCGGACGATCTTCTGCAGTCGATATTGCGCGAGAGTTGCGCGGCAAAGCTTCATATCTTTACGTACTGGACAAAGGGTGCCAGACGTTCGAGACGGTTGGGAACTGCTCCCATGTTCCCTTCGGAGCAACACTATCTGAGGATGGGCTGCTGGTGTTGGATGGCAATACTCTTTCAGGAAAGCCAGTGGACACGATCATCCTTGCTACAGGTTACACATACCAATATCCCTTCCTTGACGAGGAAGAGCTAACCTTTGGGCCTGAGAGGCGCTTCGTGGCCCCTCTGTACCAGCACATTGTGCACGCAAAAATACCAAGCCTGTGCTTCATCGGCATTCCGCTAGCCGTGCCTTGTCCTCTTCCTCTCTTCGAGGCGCGCAGAAGCTTCGTAAGTTCATAAAGCTTGCTTTACCACTCGCAGCAGGCCAGGGTCTGCAGGCAGGGTTTAGTGATGTTTCCGGTAGGTGCACGTGTCAGAGTCATATGTCAAGAATACCACGTTGTCGGGACGCAACAGAAGCCCTTCTAGAAGCTCCAACTTGAAATTTGAAATCTCCCGCGCACAGTCCAAACTTTCTCAAAGCGCTAGCAACAAAGAGCTACTAGCTGGTTCGCATGAACTGCAGCTTATGTGACGCGTGGGACCACGAGGCGCTCAACACTGCGCACCTGTAGGCTACACAGAGCCGCGGTCAAGAGAAGTGCCCACAGCCGGGCGACTTGTGCACGTGCGCCACGCATGCCAAACATTTGATCTTGTAGACTCAGTGTAGACTGCACTCCTCAGCCCACAGTTTTCTCATGCGAATGACGAGCACACTGCAGCTCCAGCAAGAGATGAAATGCAAACGTGTTGAGTGGCACAACGATGTGAGTGGTTGTTTGGACAAAGCATCTACGCAAAGCTGAAGAGCGGCTCAATTAACAGGTGCTGTACGCCAGATTTTTAGGGACCGGGAGTTCACAACTAAGATCAACTAGGCTCCGTAGTTGAAATTTGGAGATGATCGCTTAGAGGCGCAGGCATACTTTGTGGCGTCGCATCTCCGCAGCTCATGGACAAGTGAGGAGGGACGTTTGCAATGGGTGGACGCATGCTTCCAAGCGGTGGCAAACAGTCAAAACTTGCATTTCCTCTCCGGGCAGGCATGGGACTACATGCAAGGTCTTCTGAAAGAAGCCGGAATGAGTGTGGAGGATCACGAGAAATACGTAAGGCGACTCTGCCTGATTCGTGCCGTTTACCAGGATCGCGTTGAGCGAAGACCAGACAAACCCTGGGACGATGATTCCTACAGACGCTGCCAATATGAAGTGGACTATGACCAGGACTGCTTTCAGGTAGTTGCGCCGGATGGCTCCGTTTGTTCTGGTACGTCTTCGAAGATGTAGAGTGCCGTCGGTAAGCTGCAAGCGGAGGCTGGTGCCAGGCCAATTTTCCTTCATGCGCTCAGCAAAGCTTTGACCTTGAGACCGACGCGGTGTCACCGGGTAACCTGATTGCTGGTGATAGAGATTCGTGCTGGATTGAAGCGGATGAGACGCAAACACTTCCAATTTCTATTCTTTCTCCCGAATAGGTGCCCCGAATTATCCTGACTGCTTGCTGTGAGGCCACTGTGTCGCCGAGTAAATGCAGCCGCAGCAGCCGCAGCAGCTGCATCTGAGCTGAATTCAGTGTTTGCATTTGGTGTGAGGGCTGGGCTGGCCCGTCCAGGTGCGACACGCGTCAGTCGCGTCAGCCAGCAAGACCCTGCACAGGCCAAAAGCAGATGCATCAAGCCTCAGTTTCTTGGCGATGTGCGCAGGAAAGTGCAAGGGCACACGTGCTGGCCATCGCCACGGAGTATAGACAAGAGGCGGCTCTGGCTGCCGTTAGAGGCCGTGACATGTTGTGACACTAGCTTAGAGAATCCTTGCAGGCGGTTATCCTGCAGCGGTCTGCTCGTCTACTGGGATACAGGTTTGGGGGCAGTGTTAATCAGAGAGGGGTGAGTATCGTTTTCTGGTAAGAAATGGCAGGTTTCAGCTCTGCGGCTTCCGGGACCGCTTGCTGATGCTTTGAACTTTTTTTCACGCATTGCAAGGTGCTTGCAAGCATGCTTTGCAAGCAGGAGCGCTGGGTTGGTTGGGGTACGAAGCTGATCCAGTATCGGAAGGTGCCCGGGCCACCGCCCCGGCACATTCAGAAGCTTCGCAGAAGCTTCGCAAGTTTGGAGGCCTTGCAAAAGGACTTGGCGAGTGGGCGGATGGCAGTGGCCTCGGCCAAAGGTACACGAAGGAGGAAGGAGGAAGACGAAAAATGGATTTTTTCGTGAATCAGGCTGCCACAGACCCAGTGTTGTTGATCGACGGCTGGGACTGCGCATGCCTCAGAGAGACTGCCTATAAGTCATGCTTTCATGTACTAGCGCTCGTCCTGGGTTGTGCCCTGGAGCAATGGCAACGGTGGGAAGTTTACGGGACACTGGCGGATAGAGGCCAAATCTGGCTTCCCCTCAATGTAGCAAGGTTGTATCCGTCAAGCGCGGTATCGATTTTTGTAAATTGAATCCGTGCAGAAGCTCTTAGGGCAAAACACAAAAGCTCGATAATACCGTTCCAGACATGGACTGCGCTTCAGAGCCACCAGGTCAGGTCGATATTTTGAAATATAAGGCTAAGCTGTCCGAAGCTGGAAGGCAAGCTGTGCAGAATCGTCATGACAACGCAGACGCAGACCGTGAGATTGGTTTGTTGCTCATGACCACCTGTACCTGCAAGCCAGAAACTTCATGCGACAGACGGCTTGGATTTTCCACGTGCCTAAGCAAAGTTAAGCACAATCTGCACAAAGGCCTTCAAGACAGCTTCCGTTGCTATGCATTGCTGCATGTAGCGATCGATGAATCTGTATCTCTTGGTTCCTTTGAGAGTTTGCCGCGCAACTGAAACTTCGAATTGCTGCTGAGTGCTGGTGCATTCTTCTTTATTTCGTCCATCGTTCCTTTCAAAATCTTTCCAATTCCCAAGACAACATAGGGTCGCGACGTATTCACCGAAATGGCGATACTTGTAACATACAACTCGGTCCACATTTCTTCGAACTTCGCTTCAAATCTCTTTCCAATTCCTCCTAGCATGTTGCTCGGGCAAATGGCCACAGACAAGTTACTTCCAGCTGTCTTCAGAATCCATCATCGAATATGATATGAAAGTATACCTCATTGAAAGGAGTATGACTGCACAAAAAAGTTGTTGATGCAAAAAGAACCCTTGAGAAAGAAGTTAGGAAAACCAACTCGCACATATTCGTCTATCAATCACTCAATCAGCGTGCAGGATGACCTCTGTCTTCCTTAGGAATGTGTGGGGTGCAACTGTGGAGTTTTGCGCGGGAAACGTCTGCCCTCTAGGCCACAGATTTACCGTGGGGTGACTGTATGGCATCATTGTCCCACAATGCTGCTTTGGACAGTCAGTCACGGTTGCAGCAGCAATAGTCAATCAAGTTCTTGTGTCAAAGATACGTATCTTGCTGCATGAGACGAAGCTTCGATCATGACTCGCGTTGAGCCGTGTTCTCATGGGTCATGTGATTCTAGATGGTCGTGCAGTGGCAGGTATGCTGATTGGACCCGCCACTGAGTCAGCCTGTCCAAGTGTTGAATTGGGAGCTGTGCAGACGAGCTTTGTCTTCTCTCATCTGGATTCTGCCAGATTCGTAGAGAAGATGTCACTGCCGCCTTTCAGTGATGGGCATCAGCCGTGGTACGCAGGCAGCACATGGATGATAGTCAGCAGAATCGTAGTATAATCAGATCCGGGGGAAATTTGTGAGGTGAACGAATTTGCGGACCAGACTTTTTCAAGGCGGATCTCATTCGTGCTCTGCCTCCTGCGTGTGTTTTCACGACTGATTGTCAGCAGTGCCTGGCAGGCCAACCGAATCGATGCAGTGTATCCCGATCCAGGAACACCATGGCGTTATCCAAATGCAGGCCGGGCTGCACAACGTTTGCCACAGGTGCTATGACTTGTATACGTCTGCTATGTCGCTCAAGTTGATCGCTTCGACAGGTTGTATGGCTGGGCGGGCCGCAGGCCCAGCTGGATTTCTACATGGCCAGTGCTTTGAGTTGGCGGTTATTCCGCCGTTGAAGACAAAAAAGGAAAGTTGCTTTCGAATGTGGTAGGCAGTAATCTGCCTGTGTCATTTTGTGTTTGGTTGTATTTCTCAGATTTCTGGGCCCCCGGATATTTTTTGTGACCAGGATTCCCCGCCAAAAAAAATGATAATGGGGGAAAGCTCTCTTCCAGAGCTTTTGTTCAATGCCTAGCTTAAGCTGGTCAGTCCAGACGGATATGGGGAAAGCCCCAAAATGAGGCTCAATTTTGGAGCCCGCCAGGTGCTAGACCCCACCCGAGGAGGGGTTTTGAGTGGTTGCCCACCAGGACTGTTTCAGGGGTTGTTTTGAGGGTCATAACTGGAGCGTATACGGTCCTTTTTGGAGGGTCGTTTTGAAGCCGAAGTCGGGGTGATGCCTGAAGTGATAGGATGTTCAGAGGGCCCAAATTGGGGCGATATCCGAAGTTATGCAAGGTTTGCCCCTGCGCTCGCCAGCTACTGCTTCAGCAATTCTCCACCGTCTTGTTGAATCTGTTCATGAGCTTTCGACACCCCCCCCTCCTCCCTCCCCGGGTGCAAGTATTCTCTGGTCAGTGCATCAGTGGCTTCAACTTTGCTTGAATTTGATAATTAAGGCAGAGCCAGTGCTTGAGCTCATCAACGCCTTGCTACAGTCTTCAGGCAAGCGGACCTAGCTGTTTCCTAAGCCCTCGTCGCGGCGCATTCTTCATAGTCCCGGCTGCGAGGCGATGGAGACTCATTTCCAGAGGATGGGGATGACCAGGAGCTCGATAGCGGTGCTTGTGCTTTCCTGTTCTTATTGTTTTGCTAGAAGCGCTGCAGGGCAGATTGCATGAGCACCTCCTGGAGCGCGGTGTCATGCTCAGACTTTTAGCAGAGCTGGGTGCGTCGCACAGACGTAGAGCAGATAGGAAGACTCGTGTACGGCTCGGGAGCGTGGGGTGCACTGCACACACGAGAAGAAAAGGTGGCACTTTCCGTTCGCTCAATGACTCCTGGGCTGTGGGTTGTGTCTGCCAGCCTTACCACTTCAACTTCGCAAGTTGCAGTGCAATCAAACAAGCCGCTTGCGAAGAGCGGTGACTTGAGAAGTGAACTTCCGGTCTGAGTCACTGAGGTGAGAGTGGACAAAGGCCTGGATGTTGCGTGGAGAGAGCGAGTTAACAGGGGAAGTCTGGTCCGGCTCGCGAGTCTCCCTTACTTCGTGGACTCCGAGTGTCGCATTTTCCAGTGCCTTTACGAAGCAGAACCTCAGCGCTGCTGGCATGTTTCAGGGTTTGGTCACACAGATTCACAGCGTGAGAAGTGTCAGAGGCTCATCGCAGCAGAGTGGTGAGTGGTGTCTGTAGCTTCAGATGCAGTGGGCAGGTGGAGGCTCGAACCTGCACAGGAAGGGCAGCTGTTCCCACGACTCTGCAACACGCAGACCCACCAGCAGCCGCTGGAGGCTAAGACACTCTTGATGTCTCTTGATGGCTTTGAGGAGAGCTGCTCCAAACAGAGTTAGCAAGTCTACCTGAGTCCACCTGCTTTCGAACACAGCGTTACCAAAGGACAACAGCAGAGAGCGAGCTTGAGAGCAAGCTTCAACTGTCACAGCTCCTTCGTAAGGATTGTCTTGCATGGCAACGGGCACACTGGTCGATGGTTTATGCTGGACACTTACCCTGTGAGCTTACAATCCTTGAATGCCCCTATGCTTACATGATGCTGACAGAGGTCCTGCCTTTGGCGGGAAATGGAACTATTGCCCAAGGAGCCTCTGGCATGGTTGCACCCGACTTGTGCAAGCGGATGCTGTGACTCCCCAAAGCTCTAGAGTCTACAGCTCACTGAACTGCCCCGCATGCAAAATGTGAATAGCTACCTTGCCAGATGTCGCGACATGTTGAAGTTGCTGCATGCAGGTTGGCCTAACGATCCAAGAGCTTAGTCACCTCCCTCACGACGGGCCGGTGCCACCAGGCACTGTACCCGACGAGGTGCGAGTTTATCCTGATGCATTTGAGATGAACATGAGTATGCGTTTCATCTCTTCAAAGCCCTCCTGGCCCAAGTAGGAAAGTATTGATCTTAGATGCGGACCTTTTGTTTCGAGCGAGCCCAACAGCATTGCAGCTGCGAAGTAGATGCTTAGACACTGGCAACGGCGGACGTAGAAGAGCTCCACGACTCAGGGGCAGCAACATGCAGCAACTGCCTACCTGACCCGGTTAGGAAGCCCACTTTGACACCAGCTCAGAAGCATAGCCAGCAGAGCTGTAATCTAAGAACTGAAGTTGCGACAAGTGCGCGTGGCCGAGTTTGCAGCCATGCCGATGAAAAAGTCGCTGGTCAGACATGGAGATGCGCAGTTTGGATCTTTGAGGTCTGCAACTGATTTTCATGTGGACGTCCCGCTAAGGTTCAGAATGACAAATACTGAGCTTAAGCTCAAGCGAGAACGTGCCTCTTCTCAACTGCAAGAACTGATCCGTGAATGGAGTCTTTATCCAAGTGAGCTGTAGCATGGTCTGGTTCAGCCCTGACCTCAAGCAGGCATGATGGATGCATTCAGAGCAGGGAAGGCTGCTCTCGAGGATTTGCGGCTTCCGTACTTCTTGGCATATGGGTCCGCCCTGTCTGCCTTGCGTGAGGGCCAGTTTCAGCCGCAGCTCAGCTTCCTATCTACAATTTCCAAAGTGAGAGATGCGCATTCAACATCTGAAATAAGAATGAAAACAAAAGAAGCTGCAGGTATGAAGATGATATTCACGTGGGCATATACTCCTGGGATCTTGCCGCACTGCAGCGGCAATGCACTGAATGCCCCGCGACAGTACAGTTTGTTTGATTGCCATACGGAGCGGGGCGAGCATCTCTCCAGGTACGGCAAAGGAGCGTGATAGCTTGCTAAAATCAACGTTCGACAGGCCCATTCCAACGTCACTTCTGAGAACTGGTGCATGGATTGAATTGCGGAAGGTTTGGGTTCGAGCCCGTACAAGAAATTGTGGACAATCCGCTGCAGGCTCGATGTGCCCGCTTTGAGCGTTCCAAGCATCAGCAAAGCATTCAAAGCAGGCATCGTCGGGCAACAATGTTCAGCAGAATCAGGCCATCTAGCCACCTGTTTCGGCACCTGCCCAGCAACGTTCTTCAATCGAGGGCTGCATCTGGGAAGGCCGTCCTTGTTTGTCCGAGATACTACATTGCAGAGGCAGGCTTTCCTTAGCTGGGCACTGCCAGGCACCAGCTGGAATGCTACAAGCTGCAACAATGCACTTGCAGGGATGGTCCGATGACATGGCCTTCCCCATTCTGTACAAGTTCACTCATCGAGACAGCTTCGTGCGGTTTGACCTCATGGCTTCTTGCCTTCTAGGCAACGTTGGTTGTGGCTTGGGCTCATTCCCTTTGACACTGTTCCATGAGGTCTTTACCATGCAGTTTGGACAGCTTTGGGACTTCGCAGACGGCGGCGCAGAAACCTCGTCAGGCCCGATTTTGATCTGAAACATCATGCAGGCTCAGTGAAGAAGCTGTCAGGCTGGCGGTATAGTTGCCTGGCCGCAAGAAGCCTCAGACAGGCAAGTCCGGCAAGCATCCCTGGTTCGAGGTTTGTTTGCGCCCCAGCCGGTTGAATTTGAGAAGATTATGACGTTCACTATGCCGGCCAAGCCATTGGAAGACCACTACGGGAAGCTGGCCGGCAAAAGCGTGGTGCAACAAGCAAGATGCTGCAAATCCGTGTAAGCACTCAGGGAGGATTGGCATGTTCCCCGAGTCTATAACTATGTCCAGAGCTTGGCCTGCTGCAAAAATCGCTGCCAAGTGCTCAGGCCTGGTTTTCCCGTGTCATTGCTTGGAAGTTTTTTTTCGTTCAAGTCAGCGACCACAGGGTGCATCCCTTCGACGCGCGAATGAGAAGGGTAGAGCTTCCACCTGCCCAGCCTTGGGAAGAGTTCAAGAAACTCGGCTCAAGCACAGCCAGCACTGCTGATTCTTTGGTTTCCAGATGTTTGTGCCGTTGGCTGGCTCCAGGTCGTCAGTACGGCAATTTCGAATACTCTATGCAAAGGCAATGGCGGTAGGGCCCTCAGATGCAGAGAACAGCAAGAAGTGCCAGATCCTAGCGAACATGTCCCAAGGATTCTGAGCACGAATTTCCAGAACAGAAGCTTGATCTCTACAAGCTGGAATCGAAACCAGTTGTCCTTTTCCAGGCTGCCAGCCTTTGTCGCTCGGCTTTTTTCTCTTCCAAAGCAGTGCATTGGTATGCCTCTCCATTGGCTGCTCGAGGTAAGGAGGAGGGCAATGCCTCTCAGCGTGATGTGGAACCGTGTTATTGATGAGCTGTTTTTGTGCTGGAGCTGGTAGTCGGTAAGTTCGTTGGCCAAATCCTGTAAGTACGCTGTGTGTTTTTGCATGCCTTGCAAAACTTTGATCGGACTCCTACACCTTTCTTGCTCGAATGCCAGGATGATCAGCTTGGCCATTTGTTTCTAAACGGCGTTGAGTCTGCTAGTCTCTTGCATCTCCGTCTTGCAAAGATTTCAGGATTTGAAAGATCTCCTGTCTCCCAAGCTCTGGCTGTGCCAGTGGTTACTACTCTTGGTGGCTCGTGTGCATTGCCTAGAGGGATCAGCACCAGTGCCGGCAGCCAGCCTCAGCCAAGGCACGCTTAAAGGAAGGCAAACACAGTGGCGCGTTAGACAAGTACGACGAAGGAATATACATCATCGACAAGTGCAGAGAGGCCGGGGCATGCAAAGCCTCTCTTGATGATATGACATCTTGAAATCGCAAGGTGAACATAACACGAAGTTTAGTTGTTTTACTTTTCCTTTAAGGTACTCTTGACATGGCGCCTCATCTTCCGGCAGATTCACAATGAGAAAGCGGACAAGGACAGAAAAGACAGAGGTGCAGCTCGGTATTGGGATGTGGGAGCAGGAAGTTCTCAGAAAGTAGGTTGGCGACTGGAAGGCCTCAAAGTCGCAGACCTTGTTGAACCTGACATGCCGCGTGTCTCGTTCTGCATTTCAGAGATGTGCATCCTGAGAATGGGTGCTCCGTCCTGCATGGAACCTCCACAGCACAAACAATTCTGCTTTTGTTCAAGGTTCCTTCATCATCACCATCTGTCGTTATAGTGACTGTAGATGCGTTGAGGGCTGAAGACTTGAGAGGTCACAAGCCCGAGAAGGGGCAAATCCAAGCTGTCCTCTAGGAGCAAGGAGACAGACTTACATTGCTGAAGCAGAGTTTAAAAGTGTGATTTGCGCCTACTCCTGCAAGAGCTTAAGGCCCCACAGCTCCGCCAAAGCTAACACATGGTCACATGGGGTTTAAAATGGCTTCAACTGGCTGGAAGAGGTTGTGACCACTAAGGTGAGTTCAGGTCTGACGAGGATGAGGAAAGGTCCAGTCGTCTTGCTCTGCTACTGAACGCAGCGCAAGCTGCACTCCAGCTACTTGGCCGTTTGGTGTCTCGCGTCGTGGGGCCACTTTACAGCCGCGCTGATATGGCAGATGAGGTGTCAGAAATGGAGCGTGGTTGAAGCTAGGGCATCAGCCGCGATGGAGCTTGAGCCACACAACAAGACACTAGGATGCAGTCTGGCCCTTTTCATGCTTGCAGCTGGTGGCGAAGCAAAGCTAGCAGGCCTGACATAACAGGCAGCTCCCAATTCTTCCGCCACTTCGTAGCCAGGAAAGCATTGTACCGACGGGGCTTGGCACGAGCATCTTCCGGAGACACCGAGGTCGATCTCTCAGCTTCAGCATGCAATGGTCTGAGTCCGCATTTGCAGTTTACCTCCTTTCTGCCAGGGTGCCAAAGCCGACTTCTGGGCTCTGTTGAAAGTGTCCAGCTTTGACAGCAAGGATGGCATTCTGGCTTGGCAAGAGTTCTCCTGAGATGTGGCTTGCACCAAGATCTTTTGCCTCACAGGAGGCTATCAACCAGCTCTCCAAGCTCCTGCCCAAAGATGCGATCAAAGCCGGGTGACGAGCTTATGGCGGGACTCCAGTTGCAGACCACCGCTCATGCCCTTCACACGGTCACCGTCATGAGCCCACCACATTACAAATAGCAGACGAAGGGCGCCGGGAGCACTCTTCCAAGTGCTGGCATTCGGGCCGAAATGTCGGGATTAGGGGAAAATCGTCAAGGAACCCCAGGAGCGACATCCGAGGTCCGGTACGCTTTGTTCATAGCGGGATTTGATAAAGATTCCCATAGGCCAGCCAAGGCTACAAGTGGCATCTACCCTTCGTGGAGAAGTGATCTGTGATCTAAGTAACAGATACGCAAACTATAGCAGTGGCTTGACGTCGGCAATTAAGAGCTTTTAAGAAGCTACCGTTGGTCGTTTTAAATGCAGCTTTGCGCACGTTTGCTTGACACCACAACAGCGGTAGCTATTTACCCGGATACCTGCATTTTAAAAATGCAAAGATTGCAACAGCCATTGGACCCTGCCACCCCAAGAAGATCACTAAAAGAGTTTCGACGAGCGAACAAATGTTGCAGACCTCAAGCACTAGAGTCTGTTGTGGCAAGCAGTATGAAAACCAACAAGACGGGTTAGGTCAGGTACGAACGTAATTCCCTAGCCGGCCCTGGCCACCTGTTTGCCTGACAGGGCCTTTCTGCAAGTGCAGATTCTAGACACATGCCTGAGCTTTCCAAGTTGCATTTGAGGAGGCAGACAGGTTGCATGATGCAATTGGAGATCCCTCGGCCTCAGGTTTCAGAAGCTGCGAAAGGAAGCTGAGAAGGAACAAAAAGTTGGCGCCCTCCTCAAGGACACCTTCTTCATGGCATTGCAAATAGGCGATCCCATTGCTGAAGTCCAAGACAACATCTTTCATTTCAAGAGCGGAATCATGTTCTGAAGGGCTTGGCAAAAGAATTTCTAGATTGTCACGCATCATTTTCTGTTGGGTTGAGGCAGTCGGCACAAACATGACACGCTGAGTTCAGGAGCTCGACGAAGATGAGAGGATTGCCATTCAGGATGAAAGAAGCTTGAATCAATTTGTGGACGTGCTTGGAATCACAAGTGGAGTCGCAGGGTCCAGGCATGTGCAGCACAGGGGCTACCACCTGTGGACCTTCAATAAAGAAAATGTTCGGCTCCAAAATGCACAGTTTGCAAACTCCGAATCTCCTCAGCACTCACGCGGGGCCGCGTTGAGAAGCACTTGCGGGTGCGAGATTCAGCCCACAAAACAGATGCAAGTCTTGCCCCCACAAACGAGGTAAGCTGTTTCGGATTAGCTGCATTCTAGCTTGTAGTGGATTAGAAGCTCTGCATTTGGAGTCTTGCACACCTGGCACCTTGGCACTTCTGCTGTCTATGCAGAGGCTCAGCTTTCATGCAGAACAGGCCCTGAGACGGGTTGTGGCTCTTGCAGACTCAGCTCTCAGTAGCATGCAAGGGGAGATGCATCCAACCTGAGGATACGAGCGCTATCTGGGTGATTGTGAGCAGAGAGCTGCGGATGGGCAGAGAGAGATCACCTTTGACGAGTGGGCCAAGCAGTGCCCAGAGAGGGGTCTCATCAGGATCTGTTCGTTCTGACTCACAGATTACTTCCGCTGCACAAGGTGTGAAACGGATCTTTGCAGTTGGGTCATGCGCGGCATGCATTCTTGATCAGTCTTGGGCAAGTTGAGTGCAGCACAGCAACACCCCGGCACCACGGCACGCGGGCACTTCTGTGATCATCGCCATCACCAACAACAGCCCCACCCCCCAACGGCTCCGTCTTAGTCTTGTATCCGGGTTTTCATTCCTCACCGCCACCTCTCTCCAAAAGTGGAGGAGGTGGGATGGGCGTGCCAAGCCGGGAGGGAACCTCTAGGTTTTAGTGCCTTGCAACCCGAAGAACCATATGAGCTCTTTCAGGGCGTTGTGTGTCAGTGAGGCCTTTGCGGGGAGTGGCGTGCGGAAGGATATTGTCACCTCGCACACCCATAACTGTTGGGCCGGCACATGCCGGCACAAAACTTGTTCCTGCCCGCATGCTCATCAGCAAGTCCTTAAACTTGCAGGCATTTCTCGTGCACGTTCCGGCCGTGAAGATTGCAAGCCGACCGCTTTGAAGAGCTGCTGTGCTGGAACTAGACTCGGCAGCACCTCCACGGACCCAAGGCTGTTTTGGATCCGTCCGGATGAAATCAAGCGCACACCGAAAGTCCGGAAGGGCAAAACCCCGCAAATGTCATGTGGTCAGAATCCAGCAGGTGGTGGTTCTGCAAGCCCTCACGAACAGTACAAGCCAGGAATCCAGATGGCTAACGGCTTGCATTCATGGTCTCTCCGAATGGGACCCCCATATCTACACCTAGCCACAGGGTTTAGGGCTTAGGGGGAAGCTACGTAATATGTACACACACCAGCCAAGAGGTCGTTTTACCCTCGAATATGCCCAAGCCCTCGAAATAGCTTGAGGCCAACACCGCAGCAAATGTCCAGCCTGGAAATCCACCATGTGTTGAGCAGAGGAATACTGGGAGACTGAGAACTCAGTGAAATGCTTAAGAAAAGTGGATGTCTGGAGCAGCATGAGCTGCCGGAGGCCTGGATGTGATATCCTTGTTATTTGCAGCTTTCTGTGGCTTCCTGACACGGAGTTTTTCATTTGCTATCATTTGCTCATTTGAGAGTTGCTTGTCTCGAGAAATCTGGGAACGCGCAGGTTTGAAAAGAACAGTGAAGGGTCATTGGACACTAGACTGGGTCTAGATGAATTCTGGCCGGCTGACAAGTTATTTTTGTTCAGCCCTTTCCTGTACCGAAATCAGCTTGCCACATTGTTTCACTGCACAGAGGATCAAGATCCTTCAGACGTTGCGACGGCTTGCAGAAGCCAGATCGGGTTGCTCCAGCTCTGAGCTTGAACTTTAGAACGAGGTCTGTTTCAAAGCATTTGCAAAATGTGCCGCATATCTCCTATTCGGCCTGTGGTGCCTACTTCACCATCCAGCACGTCTAGCTTAGATAGCATCTATGAACCTGCCGCTGCCTCATGGCGAGTGGCAGTGAAGTCTTGCCTTAAAAGCGCCTGAGAACCTAGAGAAGCAAAGCAACCCTGATCTGTTAGACTGTTCCAGTCCACATATGCGCTACATGCAGAAGACTACAGATCCCACATTCGCACCAAGAGCTCAGTTTGAATCCGAATCGCGTGACTTGCTCCGCATGCGCTGTGCCAACTAATTACTTGGCAGATATTCATGAGTTGCGTCGTGTTGTTCCGCTTCTTGATCATTCGCCTACTCACAGCTCTTGGCCCTAGTCGTGGACCAAGCCGTCAAATTACCATGACCACTGGTAAAGTTACTGCCACAGGTACGAATGGCGCTACGACGCTGAGGAGCGCTTCAAGGTCCGATGGAAACGGGGTAGCTCACTCCATGTACGCAAAGCTCGTGCGACGTAGTGAATACCGCACAAGCCCTTGAACAAGACCAGCTTGGTTTGAAGTCAGCAGCAGCCTGTCAGCAATGCCGAAGTCTTCCTTGTCTGGCTTCAGGCAAGGCAAGCACATCCCGAGTGCTTCAACCATACAGGGCCAGCTCCGCTGCCTGTGGAGGATTGGGAGGTGGCTTGGTGCCATCGTTTGGTGTGGTCCGGTGATGGCTCCGCAAGTCTCCATGCTGGCAAGGTAGACTACCTGACGCACAAGGAAATCGAAAAGATCGTGCACACTGCTGGCAGTAGTTGTGGCGTAAGTCTCTGGAAATGCCATGTGACATCTTTAAGGTACAGGCGCCAAACAGAGACTTTGGCGGCCCGACGACGCCAGCGAGAGAAGGAAGCGAACTTGCCAGAGAAGAAACCCCTCTTGGAGGTGCCTGCGTTTCGAGTCTTTTCATCAAGACGCGCAGACCAATTGTGATATGCTGCGCGCTCAAATCCTTCTCTTCCCACCAGGATGCGTCAGGCACAAAGCTTTATCTCGACAAGGAGGATGAGCAGATCCTCCGAGATGCAGTGGTCAAAAAAGGTCGAGGGTTCATGAGTGGGTTTCGGTCTGTCCGTGCTAACAAGCCTGAAAGGATACAACTACTGGTGGTGATCCTTGAATACTGCAACTCAACGCGATGGTGTTGCAGAAAGTCTTGAAGGCGCAGCCTGTTGATCAGCATGCCCACTGGGACTCTGTCTGTTTCCATTGCTGGACAGGTCAAGAACACCAGGGAACTACATGCGACCTCCATGATCGCGCTACCAGTTGCGCAGAGCTTCCACTACCAGGATTTTGAGCCAGGGAAGTAGCTCGTGTGGGGCTGTCCATCCTGTACAGAGCAGCCCCCACCACGCGGAAAGCAGAGCATGCGAACCGGTCGTGAGCTCGCCTCACTTTCAAAATGGAAATCGGCAGGATATGAAATCTCACGTGCTGCATTTAACTATGTTTGATGGACAAGTCAAGAAAGACCTAAGCCATGTTCGTCTGAGCTTGTCACAGTTAAGTTAGATCTGAGATTTGTTCATGGAGGCCACGGAGAGGAATTGGATGGCCACGTTCCAGCTTTACCGCATCATTGTCCCCTGACTTAGCTGAAGCGCAGCGCAAGGCAAGCCAGGCGTTAGTGCCACAACCTGGAACGCAGGAGCAGCAAATGGCCTATGCCAGAGTCAACGGCCTCAGTTATGAGATCTTCTGGGAGTGACTGTGGTTGGTAGTCTTGCAGAATCTTGTAGTACTGTAGCAGCCTGCAGAGTCTGTTGTAGTACGCCAGGTTGGCATTGAGTGGGACCCTTGGAAGATTGCGGCTGAGCAGAAGGCTGAGTAGCTGGATTCGGCCCGTGCCCTGCTTCTGACAAAGACTTGTGAAAAATTGGGAAGATCCTTGGATCCAGGTTTGCTTGTCACTGCTCCTCCCTTCCCCCAAATATTTGAAGGGAGCAGTTCATCCTTGTTAGGGGAAATTGGGATGTTTAGTTTGAGGGGTAGGGATCAGTGTGCGCTCCTGACGCAACTACCCAGCAACGAAAACGGAGCCTGTTGTATGTGGATTGCGGGGAAGTAGAGATACCGTTCCTGTGCGATCCTTATTTGGTAGGTTGACACCGGTTCCCTCGACAGCTCTACAGTCAAGTAGATTCAGGCAGGCAGAAAATGACCACTGCAGGGCTTTTCATTGGAACCCATCAAAGCAGATGATAGCTGGATAGACCGGGACCCCCCAAAAAACGTCTCTCTGCAAGAGCTGTGGATTTCCCAGCATAGCGCACGGCCTTCGCGAATCTGCAGAGGACCCATAGAGCAGCAAAATCTTCCTAAGTGTGATACCCGCCCGGTCTTGGACCTTCACGGCTAGACACCAAGCCCTCATGCCTAAAGCCCACTCCCAAAACTTGCAGACTGACACCCTTAACATGTCTTTATGACGCTGCCAGTACGGATTGGCAACAACACGTGCCTCCAGACGCAAGTTCTGGAATTGATAAAAGAGTGCATAAAGGAGGTGGAAACTATTGCAGTGTGTAAGTCTTCAGAAGCTTCTGGACGCGGCGTCGGACCGGGTGCGGTTATTGTATACCAAAGTACATAGGATGTGAAGGTTCAGTTTAAGGATGTTTTGGTTGCTACATGATAGCTGATCAGCTTTGGTGGCAATGGATTGCCCAGCGTGTAAGTTGTAACCATCATGCTGATACAGGGTCCACCCACACCCAAAAGAGCATTTAGAAAATAAACCCCCTATGCGGATTCGTAAAAGGCTGTTAACTATGGTACAAGGTATTACGTGGGGAGTTCTGTTTTTTAGATCCCACCAGGGACTTGGAAAATGTTTGTTTAAAATGAGGCGTTGGGATGCATTGTTCCAGAAACCTTAAGCCCTAAGATATGGCAATTGCATAAAGTTCTTCGCTAAGGCCCCCATGGTGGTGTTGCAGGGACCTGTATCGACTCCTCATTTCGATTTCGGAATATAGGTCCGGGGTTTAGGGTTTGGAGTTTAGGGTTTAGGGTGTGAGGTTCAGGATGGGTGACATGTATAGACACGGCGTGGCAGGGATAGGAGAGATTTGACATTCGCCATTGAATAATAATAATTACATATAGAACTAGTGGTGATCGTACTGTTCCCCAGAAGAAGAAAAACCACAATGTCTTTCTATGGTGTTTAAAAACCTAAATTTAAGCTAAAAAACCAACGGTTTGGGGGTTAGGGCTTTAAGGCTCCGGGGCATCAACCTACATACCCTTTAAGAAAAAACAGTGCCTGTTGACTTTGGTATCCTTATAAATTTTTTGAGCGTGTACAGTTACTCCAGGTGGCGTTGAGAGTGTGCTATAGCGACTTTGGATTCAAAATATGGGCCTCGTCATGTGGGCGTTTGCAATAAAGTTAACACGGTAAACGCTAAACCCTAACGTCTAAACCCTGAACCTTCGGGACCTTACTTTTGGATGCTTTAAGCCCTGATCCAAAACTTTTGCAAGGGTAGTTTGCTTCGGCGGAGGCAACCACACCTTGCACCATGTTTAGGGTTCAGTGCTTCGTGGTCTGTTCCGTTTCCCTAATACTAAACCCGCTTAGGGGCTTAAGGATCCTCAGTGAGAATATGGGTTATAACAGGGACAATTGTCATGATGAGTTGCGAACGAGCACGTGAGAGCATCTTGGTTAGGTCTTATTTTAGAAGGCTTCTATTCTCAACACCGGCAAGATACAAATGGAAGAACGATGTTTGCTGGGCGCCTGTTGCCAGTTCGACGAAACCCTGGCTCAGTATAGCCTTGAATCCATATAAAGTGATTGAGCTAACAAACCTAGCTTCTTGAATGCGTGATTCCCTAGATTTAAGAACCAAGAAGTGTGGGATAGCGATCCCGTTTGGCCATAACGCAGGGCGCAGAAAACAAACATCACGATAGACGAAGCATTTGCGCATGTCCCCCTGCCGCCATAGCCCAAGGGGGGAAGTTGTCAAGGTATGACTGGCATGGTATGCAAACAGCAGGCAAACTTTTGTCTGAGTTGCAATGGAGAAGTATCAACAGTGTGCAGATGGAGGCCATGCGTGCCCTTGCGACTGCCATGTCTGTTTGCAGTGGAATTATGTTTGTTCAAGTTCTGCCAGGCACTGGCGTGAATACATTTGCTCCGGCTTGGTCACACCACAGGCAGCAGCTGAAGTTTTCCTCGTCCTGGGAATTCGTTGCTCTCACACCGCAGCAATGCCACCTCCTTGCTGTTTCTTCCTCAGTCGGGGCTGCTGCTGCAATGTGCGAAGCTGGTCCTGGCCTCAGTTCTGGTGGGCACGTGACACAAAGGCGCTGCAAGTGCTGCTACTGAGTCTAAATTCAGGTGCTTTTCCCTCTCGCGGGTGTATGGTTGCAACAGCTTTTCTGTGGCCACGAGCTCGGACACTTTGGACCGACAGAGGGAACCAGAGGGAAGCCAGATGTTGAGAAACCATGAACAACTGATGCTGGTACTCGCGGAATTGCTAAGCTGGCCTCTTAGCGCCATTCCCGTGGTGAGACAGGGCATGTTTGCCTGGTGGTCATGTCAGAACATGAGCATGGCCGTGGCACCCTTCACGCTTCCTGAGAGCAGCAGCGGTCTCGGCGCTGCCGCCGGATGATTCGAGAGCACATCCTGTATCTTCCCAGGCCCAAGCCCCGCGACGCAGATCAATCAGTGGGCCCACATGGCCCACCACCTGCGCTATCCGTCTCGATGCCGAAGACTCTGAGGCATGGGGGGTTTGCGGTTTCGGAGTCAGGCTGCATCTTTGAAGGGGCGGTTTGTGGCATGTCGCGTCTTTGAGGAGGAGGTGCTTCAGGACCCGGAGTTTGCCGTGCCGCTTGGTGAGGCACCTGCATTTCCGGTGGTAGTCCAGAGGGCAGTCAGCTTCAAGCAGCTGTTGGAAGCCAGGATTCTGGAAGCCAGGAAGTCGGGGCAAAGGCCCCCACCTCGGTTGAGATGTTCGCGCTTTGAACCCTGCAGGACAATCACTTGGCCGCCATCGCCCCCACTCCTACTCCTGAAGGACACTCTCAGGATTTCGTGATTTACACGTCGGGTCTAGGATGCAGGGTCTGGATTAGGGTCGTTGAGGGCTTCTAGGGTGTAACTAGGACTCTTGGGACCCTATATAGTTGGCAGTGCATAGGTAGCTGTAATTAGGGTGCCCGCATGAGGTGACTGTAGCTGGTTCCTATACCTCCCCATGAATCTTCAAAGTAGGTCTGTGTACCTTATTAGATGTAGGGTCTGGAGACAAGGCCTCCGTAAACCCCAACCGTGAGGGCTGAGGGTCAGAGTCCAGGACTTCTAAGTACCGTAAGTCCTCAGCATCCTTACTTCAAGCTGACGCGACGCACCTTCGCCCTAAACACTAAATGCTTGCATTCCAAGCCCCAAGCTCCCAGACATTTCGGTAGCTGCCGGACGGACAAATTAAAAAGAACATTCTCCTACAGTCTCCGTAAAGCCAAAACCATTTGATATAAATCTATTTTACAGACATGTATGTAGATGATGCATGCATGTGGTACTTGATTCCCAAATGGCCACAAAATAGGTTTAGATTTGACGCGGATCCTCTAAAAGCATGGGCTTCTTATTATGCAGCGTCCAGTCCATGCTCTAAGCCCTAAATCGCTAAGCCAATCGCACTTAACTTCAAGCCCTGAACTTTAGCCCCTAAGCCCCTCAACAGCTAGAAGCTAAACCTCAGACCCCAAGCCATAAATGCGTAATAAACCCGAAGACGCTTAACAGCTAGGCCCCAAGTCTCACTTAAGACCCCTGCAGGCCTTCTTTTGGGCATACGTCAAGAAGCACCTCCGCCTTGGCATGATGTAGGGTTTAGAGTGTGTGCAGTTTTGGGATGTAGGGTGTGGGATTTAGAGTTTGTGGTTTTGTGGTGTAGGGTAGGCTTTAGGGTGAAGGGTTTGGGGTGTCGGGTTGGGGTTTAAGGCTTCCTCTTCAAACCTTTTCTTTTCATTTATTTTTGTCCTCAATTTTTCAATCCTTCTAAGCAAATTTCTGTCTTCCCACTGGATCTTGAACGGAGGGCTTTGAGACTCTTTGCGGTTCCTCGCTCATCTTTCCCAGTAAAAAAAGTAGCAGTACCAAAACCTATTTTGGTAGCCTCAAACTGCATATTGGAACTAAACCCTTTACCCTCAGCTCCATACATTAACCCAAGGAGATGCAAAGCCTTGTGTTGGGGGATCAGACGGCTTCCTTGAGCGGCTCATAGAATCTCACCCTAAATTGTTTGTGTGCTTAGGTTTAGAGTTTAGCTGTCGAAATCAGCAAACCAGGCCATTCATACCTAAACACAGCAAAGGCATTGTGGCGTCAGCTCCAACCTCGTTCTTTAGGTTGAGGAGTGCTTTCCAGCAAAACAGGTTACAGGTTACGGGTTTGTTGCAATTTACGTCATCTTGTTTCGATCCCCATACGTAGAAACCCCTCCCAAGCCGCCCAGCATTAATCAGCAGTGTTTTTTGAGCCACATTCAGCCCCGTGTATGAGCAATTAGGAGCCTCACATGAAATTACCCTATAAGGCTGGGATGGGGGACAGAAGAGTGCAAGGCCTAGAAATTCTTTCGCCACGCTCTATCCAATGTTTGATCCCGCTGTTGGCCCGCATGAATTTGCAAGCACCCTGCCATTGAATCTTGACGTCCTTTGACCCCTTGAACTTGAAGTCTTGACTGGATGAGGTGAGACAGAATCGTATCGACACGAACAGATTAGAGGCTCTGGCAACTGAAGTTCTTGCTGCTGACATGGCCATCGTTAGTGTCATTATGGTTCGCCAATCCTTAACCCTAAACACCGTTTTTTCCCCCATTGTTGATGGACTGAAGCCTGGCATGCTCTCAAGCGTTGGTAGCCTACTCTTGGCTACGACTCAGTACGACTCTGTGGCCATCTTCATCGCTACCTCGATTTCTGATTCGGATATTTGTGGAGCTTTGCTTTCGTAGGGTTGGAGATGGGTTTCAGGAGCTGTTGCTGTGGGGTCCTTGGACCTATTTTCATGGGTAGGTCCTGGGAAAGCTCGAAGCACAGGAGCCAAGCGCAGGGCACACAGATGTCTTGATTCCAGCAGCTATGGCAAAGTGGGAACTGAAAGGGTCCTAATTGCACCCTTTAAGCCCTACTAATCCAGATCCTGCATCCTAAACCCCAAGTCTAAATCACGAAATCCTGAAAGCGTCCTGCAGGAGCGCAAGATGGACCAGTTGTTGCAACTGGCCCCTCAGCCTTGACGTGATGAAGTTTGGGATTTTGGGATGTAGCATGTGGGAATTAGAGTTCGTGGTTTTGGGGTGTAGGGTGTAGGCTTTAGGGTGTGGGTTAGGGTTTAGGGCTTCGCGGTTGGGGATTTAGGTGTTGAGGTTCTGGCTTTGGAGTTCAAGCATGAGGGTTGGGTTTAGGGAATAATAGGGGCTGCGGTTTGGGTTTGCATGCCTCTTTTCCCTGCTACATAACCCGCAAAGAGCTTGAGCTTTGTTAATCGCTTCAGTTTCTCGCTTTTTTGTTGCTGCTGCAGCCGCTTTTGCCGCGGTTTGTTGAAGCGTGGGCTTCCTTTGTCTTCGCTCTCATTCGCTTGAGGTCTTCCATGGTGTCCGCCTCTTTCATTTTCTGTCTTGCAACCTCTGCTTCTGAGAGCTTTTGCTTTTGTTTTGTTCTTAATTTCATCATTCTTTTCTTCAGCTCTTTGCGCGTTAGCATCAGATAACTCGTCTGGAACTTTGGAGGTTGCTGACGCACTGCGGGGCTGCTTGCTCTTCCAACCTTTTTTTTCCATCTATTCCTTTCTGCCATGCTTCAAACATTGTAGGTGAATTTCTGTCTTCCCCCGGGATCTCCAGCGGAGGGCTTTGCGACTGTTTGCGGTTCTTGTAACAGCACCAAACCTAGTTTGGGAACCTCGACTGAGCTCAATACTTTGGCCCAAGGAGACGCAATGCCAAGGGTTTGTTGAAATATGCGTCCCATCTTCAGGCATGGAAGGGTGCATCTAACAGGAGCGCAAAGCAGGCAACGTTCTTTCTCCAAGCCTTATCCAACGTTTGATCCCGCTGTTGGCCCGCATGAATTTGCCAGCACCCTGCCATTGAAGTTCGAAATCCTTTGACTCCCTGAATTTGAAGTCTTGACTGGATGAGGCCTGTATCATGGAGGCGCTGGCAACTGAAGTTCTTGCTGCTGACATGGCCATTGCTAGTGTCTTTGTGGTTCGCCACCCCCACCTCATTCTGCCCCATGGTTGATGGACTGAAGCTGACCTGAGCCAAAAAACCCGATAAGCCATTGGTAGCCTGTGTCAGCAGTAATCTTACTATTGTCGGCCTACTCTTGACTACGACTCAGTACGACGCTGTGACTAGCTTATTCTTACCTAAATGTCTGCCTCGTGTTTTGTTTTTCATCCTTTCATACCGCAAATAATGATCCGTCCTGGTGATCTTCACTCTGCGTTCGCTGCAGATGACATGGCATATTCTCCCTAACCCGTAGGCCGTATACTCAAAATAGCCCCGAGATCTACAGAACTAGCAGCCCAATGTGAAATTGACGACAATTGCGACTCCAACGGGCCAGACCTTCCACTATTCCCCTGCGCGATTTTTTCCATAGATTGTTGGGCTATAACCATGCTCAATCCTCCCACTTTGTTGTCAGTGCCGCCTGGAATGGATGGAAAGAACCATCCTGCCTTGGCCTCAGCCGGAAGTAGCTCAGTGGCGCAGGCGTCAGGGTTTTCTTTTCGATTAGCAGTTCAGAATATGGGTTCGCGGCCCCACCCACATAGAATGTTTCCAGCCCCCGAGTCAACGACTTCAGCATAATTCATGCAAGGAACGGAGAATTACCGAGGTTTTCTTCCTCGCTTGTAAGCGAAAGCGACCCTCCGATAGCATGAAGATGCGTGTCCATTCAATGTGGCAATGCAGAGCAGAACCGAGCCCCCGAAAAGAGCGGAGGGGGGTTTTCTGAACACAAAGTTGAGATTGAGTTACAAGATGCTTAATGGTAGATGCGTGTGGCCCGATCGAGGCTAGTTGGTGGATCTGTTTCAGGGCTTAAGGGTGTGCCACAATTGGAGTCCCGTTTAGGGGTCCTGGTACGAGAAGAACGGTTACAGGATTTGGGGCATCATCACCCGGGAACGGCAACAAATGAAAATACTCCACACCTTAGACCCCTCAACATTGAAGGGCTGAGGGAAGAAGACCGCAAGCGCCAGGCTGGGACTAGGTCGGGGATGCTGCTGAATGAGGACTTCCCACAGCTATGGGCCCCTTTACAGGGATTATACATTGGGCCATAAGGCTCGATAGGGATGTTACAGAGATATTATAGGAGCGACATTTGGGATTGTGCCCGAACTGGGGACCCCTGATTTTGGGAAACCCCAATATATGATCCATAATCTAAACTCCTAGTATCCACCTTTTTATCCCCTATTGTAGTCCCCTATATAATTCCTTATATATACCCCTTGAAGTAAACTATAGCTCAAATGGGTTTCTCGAAATACGACCCCCTAGATCCTTGTTGGGTTCCTGTATGTTGTACCCTCTGGCTTCCTAAACACCCCATGAGGGCGCAGCGCAAATACTAACAAGAATGTCCTATATGCTCATTGTGTCGGGGCTCATAGCGGCTAGTATGACATGTATTTTTGGATTTTTTTCGTGTTGTAGACCCCCCCCCCTGTCCGCGCTTTGTCTACAAAAACTCACATCTTAGAAAGATGGCTTTGCCTCCTGCAGGCAAGCTTCTGCCCCAAAACTCTTGTTAAGGACCAAAAGAGACGAACCTTTTGCCCCAGAAGCTTTAATTTTCATTGTAGTATAGCCTTAACTACTTAAACATGTATTATAGCTTTAAGGGGTTCGAGACCTTGTAGTCTCAACAGCTTCGCGCCTCCTTTGCTGCTGTTCCTTTTTTGCATGTCAGGTTCCTTTGAATGCCGTATGTGTAGACATGTGCTGCGCTCGGTCAATTTGTGAGATCATCTCTGCATGTCTGCTCAGATCGAGACGCTTCTGAAGAGGCCCAGGATATCTCTGCCGTAGTTGTCGCTTCAGCCATACACAAACCCTTCTTTGTGCTCAGGATGCCAGCTACAGGTACGTACTAAGCCGCATGATCCTCCGAGTACACCTGTACCCTAAACCCTAAACCTAAAAATAACTAAACCCTAACCAGAAACCTCGAGCCAAGTATTGAGCAATGCCTTTGACATGTGTCGAGTTGGTGTAGGACATGGTTGGGGCCCAAGGGTGGTAGGGTTTAGGGTTTTAAGATTGGCGATGTGGGGCGCGCACAAGTTGCATAAGGTTCAAGTTGGGAGTTTGACCAGGTTGTGCCGGCTTTGTGCGAGTTTCCGTTTTGACTGAATTTATGTCTCCCTGGGCATAGGCCCGGATCTGAGGGCTAATTAGGGTTCAAGGTTTAGGGGTTGATGTTTGGGGTTTAGCGGCTGATTTGAAGGCCTGATTTTGCAGGGGGTTACAAGGAATTGCAATCGCAAGGCTGAGGAGATAGAAGCTGATACGCGATTGAACTCCATCAGCTTAAGCAACCGCACCAATGCGGGTTCGACACATGCTTACTTGATGGGAGATACCCATACTGAAACAGGTAAACGTCACTTGGCCGCTAAAGTCACAGCACTGCTGAATCACCTACCTGTGCAGCTGAAGATCTTCAAGACACACTGCTAGTGAAGAGGCGTATACGAGGCAGAACCATCTCCCACCCCCAACCTCCCTGCGATGTGGCGAGGGCAGCCGCCGTGGATCAGCCGAGTGCTTGTGACTGCCGGCGCTTTAAGAGTTGCGTTGATTTAGGACGTCCTTCCATGCAGGCTTCAGTATTCGGATTTAGGGTCTAGGGTGTAGGCCGGCCGTGTAATGAATCCAGATTCATATCCACCAGGTAGGTCTTGGTCTTCAGGAGTTTAGGATTCAATTTTTTGAGGGTTTGGTGTTTTCATGGTCAAGAGTTTTTAGGGTTTGGGGTCTAGGGTTTGGGTATTGGGTTTAGACTTTGGGGTTTGGATGTTGGGTCCAGTGCGGGTAGGGTTGGTAATCCCGTCCCAGTCATAATAAACTTCCCTATGAGTTGGATCCCAAGAGCCACATACAAGACCCACCATTTCAGAGGCTTAGGGTTTTAAAGCTACAGAGACTGCAGTCAAGGAGGTGTATGTATTAAGACTGTTCATTTAGGGTTTTGATGTGCAAATTTTGCATTTGCTCTTATCATGGATCATGGTCGAGAGGTGGTTTCCAGTTTGAATGTAGTAGTCTCGCTGCATGACGGCTGATCAGCTTTGGTGGTAATGTATTGCTCAGCGTACTGTAGCCATCATGCCCCTCATCCATCCCCAAGGCCGAAATTCTTTGACCCCAACTCACACCCAAGAGAGGATCTAGAAAATAGAGTCCCTGTGAGGGTTCGTAAAAAGTATCCAACTCGGCAAGAGTGTTACATTGGGAGTTCTACTTCCACATCCTCTCAGGGACCTGGAGAACGTTTGTTTAGAATGAGGTGTTGGGATGCATCATTCTAGAAACTCCGAACCCTAAACCATGCATGGGATAATTAATTGCATGAGGCATAAGGTTCCTCACTAAGGACCCAATAGCGGTTTTGCAGGAACCTGTTACACGACTCCCTCTTTCTCTTGACCGCGAAATACGGGCTCAGGTTTTAGGCTTTGGGTTTTGGGGTATGGGGTTCAGGACGTAGGGTTTTGCAGGCAGTATACCTTAATCTAGGTGACATTCATAGATATGGCGTCACAGGGATGGGGGGTTTCTGAGAGTTGGGATCGGTATTGAACAGTCACATATAACACTAGTAGGAATCAAATCTCACTGCTAATAGTGGTGATCGTATTGTTCTCAAAAAGAATAGAAACCATAACCATGAATAGCTTGAGTCTCTCCATGGTGTCTAAATACCTAAACGTAAGCCCTTAAAAACTCACAAAGGTGAGCGCCGCCGGTGCTGTACTGACCTTGCCGATGCGGCATCCCCGATGAAGAACTAGAGTTGTACCCTGAACCCCAAACCCTGAACCCTAAACTCTAAACCCTAGACGCTAAACTCTATAGACTCTAAACCCTCAACCTCAAACCCTCATCTCTCAGCAATATACACTCAACCCTAAACCCCAAATTCCAGTCCCTGAGAGCTTGGCTCTGGTGAAGAACGGCGGGCACGGCTCGAGTCTGCGTACGAACAGCAAACTAAGCGCGTGCTTATCCCTTAAAACCCAAAGAGGCCGTGTAGCTATATAGCCTGGCCCCAAAGACTTTAAGGCCCAAGTATATTCTGTACAGCTACATGGACTCTTTGGGAAGTAGTCATCGTTGATAAGACGAGCCTAGTGATGCCAGTCTAGAATCATTATACCTACACTCCTTTGCCCGCTCTTCCTCCAAGCGAAACAGCAGCTGTCACTGGAGCTTCGGATCATCTTTAATCGAGTCATGGCGTCCAGCTTCAAATCATATCTCTAAACGCGCTGCAGTTTGGTGATCTCTTCGACCTGGGTTTCCGATTTTAGGGGGAACGGATAAAGAGACCTTCAAGAAGATCAACCCAACCTCCACAGCATCCTGAAGCCTTGTCTTCAGAGCATTGATCCATTGCCGCTAGCAAACTGAGGAAAGTGGGCGTCCCGATCTGAACGAGGCATCCGGGCACAGGGTTGGGCGTATAGGATTTGGGGACATCTGCAACTTATTTCAGGTTGGGGGGCCGCTTCCCAAACCCTACGGGCCCCTGGACACTGGACGTTCTACCTTTTTGGCGAAGTACCCTAAGAATATGTGAGCTATAGTCTAAACTCCTACTATCCCCCTTGATAACCCTACATAGTAGTCGACCTTAAACCCTAAACCCTATATTTGTCCCCTAAAAAACCCCCTTTAAGGAGTTAGGACTATAACTCATGTAGAACAGAACCCAAGCACAGACGGACATCCAGGGTCCAAGTAGACCCTGAACCCTTAGGGTGTAGGGTTCAGGCTGGGTTTTGGAGTTCCAGAGTGGGGCCTTTGGATCTTGCTTGCCTCAACGAAATGCCCAAGTACCTGAATGGTGGGGCTCGAGGTACCAACGAAAAGAGTATTGATGTCATCTAAAGTCTAAAGCTTAGCTTTACCCACACGTAAGACCCTTGGTAGAAGATTGAAAAGCCTAGTAGATCGAATGTAAGGCATATAGTTTAATCAAAGGGTTTAAGGCTCTCATTGCGCATCCGTGTCGTCGAATATGTCACCGAAAAGGCCTTGTATAGCCTGGCACGTAAATCGCTGCTTCTGATGTGCAAGCATCTGTCCAGAAACCCTTACCTGTATAGTTTGGCAAGTTCCCCGCAAACTGCAACCCTGAAATTGCCAAGCCTTCTTGCCAGGTCCTAGACACACCTTCCCCGTTACATGGTTTCTTCAGCAACCTGAACAAAAAGCTGTAATCTGAGGCCACGTACGGATAGATAGAGATATGTGTGCATGGTAGCTTCCGTGCATGTAACAGAGACCCACTACAGACACCTGCATACGATGAGCCTTGTCGTGGTACATCCAAAATTGCTCCGGGAAACTAAGTATCTTACTTTCTCTCCCTCTCTGTCTCTCTCTCTCTCTCTCTCTCTCTAGATGAGCCAGTACGGATAATATACACAGTATATAGTGTTAAATGCCTACATATTTTTCTGAACAGGACTTACAGGACTTGTAGGGATACATAGGGATAATTTATCCCTGCAAGATAAATGTTGTCTAGGGCGTTATCCACGCTCTTCATTAAAGGCCCCTGGCCACCCTAGAATACTGTCCGAGCCCCATTATTCTAGAGATCCGAGATCCTCCCAAAAAATAGATCATGCAAAGTACAAGTAGTATTTTTAAGCAGAAGTAGTAAGAGCTAGAGTATCAGGCAAGAACAAGAGTTTGCTACAGAGGATGAGAAGTTGGATTCGAATTGGTGTTGGTTACCAATTGATTTACGACAAGTTCCAATTTGATTACAAAGGGGTTTTTACGTGATGTCAGCCCTATGTTGAAAGAGATTTCAATAGGTTCTAATTATGAAAAGGGTCCGAAACTAATGACCTTGAAAGAAGCCTCTATTATTCTAGGTTTTTCCCCCTTTTTAAAGAAAGACCCTCTCGCGCAAGGACTGTAAGCGGTAGCTCAGGAAGCAAAGTTTGAGCCTCCAATTCTGAAAGACTTTTTAGCAAATCAGCTCTGAGAAGCATTTTTTTGGCTCATAAGTGATTAAGCAAAACCTTTCGTACTTAGGATTTGAGGATTTCAGATTTGAGCTTTAGCCTTGAGAGTCTTAGGATTTCAAACCGGGTTCTTGGGGGACCACGGAATCTTCACTAAAAAAAGGTGGCACTTATGATTGCGGATCTCAGGTCGGCATCCGTAACTTCGAAACAATCTTTTCGACAGCAGCTATCCTAATGGTGCCTGTGACAAATCTTAAACCATATACCCTCAACCTTGAACCCTCAAGCCTAAACCACAGACCTCGAACCCTAAACCCCGCATCCTAGGCCTTGAGCCCTCATCCCCAAGACACCCGAACCAGTACCCTTCACACTATGGTCAGACCAGAGACTCGAAGCAGCTTCTGATCGGTTCGAAAAACATCAAATGATTGCTTCAACCAGCATTCCAACATCACGTTTTGGCTACCTAACGCTTAAAGATTCAGTAAAACGAGCTCTAACTGTTCATCTTCCATTGTATGGAAATTTGGTTTGTCAGGTTCCAGAGGTGACTCTGATGGCGTGGCTTCAAAGACTGAAGTGGGAAGGTATACCGTACCATGTGACACTACGTCCGCACGGAGGTGAAAAATGTGCCTGAGTTATTACGCAGTTGCTTACCCATGCCTTGTTGGGAGTAGGCGCATCGATTAGACAATATTCATGGGGCCTTTCTGGAGCTCAGTATTGGGATCCATGCCCGCGTCAAAGATCTCATTGGTGGTGAAGGTTGTTGCGGGGATGGTGGAATGTC